GGGATTTAGGGGTTTAGGGTTCGGGGTTTACCTGAAGTTTATGAAGAGCTTTATGGGCACTTATGTGGGGGGGGGGGGGGCTGCTCTCACACACACCAATAAGCTCAACCGCAACCTAAAACCTGACAACAAAAAGGGCTGGGTTGCCCCCCCCCCCCCCTCTGTTTACGTGCGCATATGTGAGGAACCTAACCCAAATAAGCTCAAGCTTTTGCAAGTTGAACAAAAAACAAATAGCCCGAAGCCGCCCACCAATCGCGTCCCCTCCACCATCAAAAAGCCCTCTCGACGCGAAAAAAACACGCTCAGCCCTGTACATCCCGCCCTATACCCTAATCCTCTAAAACCTAAACCCTAAGCCCTCTAAGCCCTAAGCCCTCTAAGCCCTAAGCCCTAAGCCCTAAGCCCTAAGCCCTAAGCCCTAAGCCCTAAGCCCTAAGCCCTAAGCCCTAAGCCCTAAGCCCTAAGCCCTAAGCCCTAAGCCCTAAGCCCTAAGCCCTAAGCCCTACGCCCTAAGCCCTAAGCCCTAAGCCCTAAGCCCTAAGCCCTAAGCCCTAAGCCCTAAGCCCTAAGCCCTAAGCCCTAAGCCCTAAGCCCTAAGCCCTAAGCCCTAAGCCCTAAGCCCTAAGCCCTAAGCCCAGCCCTAACCTAAGCCTAAGCTAAGCCCTAAGCTAAGCCCAGCCTAAACCCCCCCAGGCCCTGACAAATTCGAAACAACGGCAGAGGCTGCCTTGAGAAGCCGTAGGGATCTTCGCTGGTGCTCTGATCCTGCGAGGTCAGCTTCGCTGAGCCCCAGAAACTTTGAAATTTCGGCAAAGCCCCAATAGGGTTTCATAGGGTTTAGGGTTTAAGGTTCCCTCTCTTTAGGGTTTAAGGTTCCCTCTCTTTACTTTCCTGACCAACTCAGCTCACAATTGGAGTGTGCTTCAAGCCTCCAGGTCCAAAGCTCTTCGGAAAACGAAAACTTATGCTTCCAAGGATCCTAGGCTTTGGTTCGTTTTGGGGGGTGAAGGGCGTGAGAGTTTGGCGTGTCCAAAGGGGTCTGGGGTTTAGGTCTTGGAATCAGGGTTGGGGTTTCGGGTCCAACCTTCTGCAGCCCTAGCTGAAATCGTGTTTCTGATTCACTGGTTGGGCGGAATTCAACCTTAAATCCAAAGCTAATTAAGCTCAAAACCCAAAGGAAGCTTGAATTGAACCCGATCAAACCCTAAACCCACTGATTAAACCTTGCTTATACCCTACAAACTACACCCTAAACCCTGATTAAAGCGGAATGATACCCAAAAATTTAAACCCTAAACCCTGACTAACCTTATGACCTCAAGTTTAAACTGTTTAAACCCTAAACACAAATCCAGATTGAGCCTTATACCCGAAAACTTAAACGTCAATGAGTCAACCCTGATGAAACTGTGTACCCTAAATTGAACCCTTGACCCTGCTTAGACCCTAATTATGCCCTAAAATTTAAACCCTAAACCCTGATTGCACCTTATGCCCTAAACCCTGATGACTGACATCAGCGAGTTCCAAGACATGGATGACGACGGTGAGTCATCAAACTCGGCAATGGCAACCAACTGACTTGTTTCATAAAGCAACTCAAGCACGGTTCGGCGTGCATCTCCCAGGATTTCAAGGAATGGATGTCGGACTGGAAAAGAATTTCACCAGTCGTGTTCAACCTAGCTGGCAGTCTTGTATAACGTCTGCTGCTAGTATCTCTAACTTGCTTGTGTCAAAAACTTCTTCAACATCGTGGTCATGGTGCTGTCGGGCTTGTCCTTGTAGTGGGCGAGCATTTGCTAAACCCGAAACCCCGAGTAAACCTTATCCCCTCAAAAACCCTAAACCCTAAACCCTAAGCCCTAAACCTCAAACCCTCAACCCAAGGCGACTGGGCCCCCGACGTGAAGGTTGCGGTCCGTGGAGAGCGAGCGACTTCTTCGCCTGGGCTTGGGGTGTGAACTAAGTTCCCCTAAACCCTTGTTTAGGGTTTAGGGTTAGGGTTTGGGGTTTGGGGTTTGGGGTTTGGGGTTTGGGGTTTGGGGTTTAGGGTTTAGGGTTTAGGGTTTAGGGTTTAGGGTTTAGGGTTTAGGGTTTAGGGTTTAGGGTTTAGGGTTTAGGGTTTAGGGTTTCCCCTAAACTCTCCCGCAGGGTTTGGGGTTTAAGCGTTTTTGGGGTTTGCAGGCTTTAGGGTTTTGGGGTTTGGGTTGCGAGTCTATGTCCTAGGATGGGAACACTATTGTGGGCCTATCTCTGCCTAAGAATCTCGATATCGATTGCCCCCGTGCTCACGGCACTTAACAGGCATTTGGCATAAAGCGGCCCCTTCCACCGCCCTTTCGCGCCGCTTTCGCGCGCGACGTTGTGCGGAGGGTTTTAACTTCTCCCCGAATTACATGGGCAGGTCTCTAAACTATGGGGTCTCTTTTATACTTAGCAGACCGCAACAAGGAACGACATTAACAGAACTGGCCACAAAGGGATTAGTCCCTAAACCCTGAACTCCAAGCCGAAACCGTAAACTTCCCCGACGGCTAAGGAAGGGCTAGCGTTAAAAGGTATCAGATTCCCAAAGCCCAAATTTTTGTAGGTTAGTATAATAAAAAAACACCCCTTATAGGATTCTTAGCTAACCTAACAAAAAAGTAGGCTTTGGGTTCTTAAGGTGGGATTTAGGGTTTGGGGGCGCATGGCTTGCGGTAATGGTCGCGGGTTCAGTACAGCTTGTTTCTTGTCAACTTGCTTGTTGGAGCCGGTTTCCTTGCATTCCCCTGAAGATCTGCCCTCCTCTACACTCCAATCGGCTCCCTTTGATTTCCTTTTGATTTAAAGTAGTTCGAGGAAACTTCACCTACTTTCCAGGGTTTAGGTCCTGGGGCTTGATAGGATTATAGGCTTTGGCAGCTTGAGGTTCAGGGCTTATGCGGCTAGACTGCAACACCTAGATCTTCTTTCGGGGGTGCCTTCCCTGAACCCTAAACCTTGTCATGCCTAGACGCGAACCCCCAGTACAAAGCCGCTTCCCCCTGTCGCAACCCTAAACCCTAACTAAACCCTAAACCTAAACCCTAAGCCCCCAAAACGTCTTTTTTTGCCTTGAATCCAGCGGAGGCGCCGAAGCACTGAGGCGGGCCGAGACCCTCTCTTTCCCGCGACTCTATGGTGGGGGTTTCCGAAACTAGGGGTACCTTACTGGGGTCCTTATTATCAGGGTATCTTACTATTTGGGGGTCTAGATTTGAAAGTCCTTGTTTTCGTAAACTCCCATATGGGTAGTTCTCTAAACTAAGGTACCCCCTTTTTGGGTCCCCTATACCCAGTACGGCACCCTTATAGCCCAAAAAGGGACCCTAATTTAGAGAGCTACCCATGTACCTGCAGCCTGATGGGGAGTAGGGTTTCAAGGTGCAAGGTGCCTATGAACGAACTTTACAAAGGCTGCAACTAAACTGTAGGCACATAGAGTTGCAGGTTTGTGTTAGGCCCGAGGAGAACTGCAACAGGAGAAAGGGTCTTGAACATTGCCGGGATTTGCTCTAAACCCGAAACCCTAAGCCCTAAGCCCTAAACCCTAAACCCTAAACCCTAAGGCCTACACCCTACAGGGTTTAGGGCTTAGGGCTGGCTGAACTCTAAGCTCAGGACAATCGTGCTAGAAGGCCCTGCCATGCCCTGCGCTACAAAAACCATGTGACAGAATATTGCTGAAAAAGATCCTCTTGAACCCACCCTAAACCCTAAACCCTAAACCCTAAACCCTACACCCTAAACCCTAAACAGCAAGAGACACAATCTCCCATGTCCCAAGCTCCTAGTGGGCTCCAAAAAACCCTCAAGCCCCTAATCCAAAATCCTAAGCCTTCCATCAATACGTCACCACCCCAGGTCCTTCCAAGCCCAGTCCCTGTGAAAAAAAGGGGCGCAAGGTGTAGGGATAGGATTTAGGAATTATCATTGGTTTGTGCAGGTTTGATGAGGTTTGGATAGCCCTGAATCGAACCCTACACGCCTTAGCTCCGTAAGGGTTTAGGGGGCCCTGGGGATGGTCCCTTCTCCTGTTTGCAGTCTCGCGGGTGACGCTTCGCAAGCGGGATCCTGAATCGTTTGAGGCATCTTTGCCCTAGGAGCTTCTTTGTACTAGGAGTATACAGAACCAAAGAGGTTAAACGGTTAAACGTTACTACTTACCCAGCCCCCCCAAGTTACTACAAGCCCTCTTGAACGAGAATGAGAAAATAGCAAGTTCAATCCTCCCTTGGGTTTTTTTACATAGAGAAGTTAAGAAGAAACAAGATTCGAAGGATGCCATCGCTGTGGTCAGCTTGTGCTTCAGGGATACCCCAGATTGATGGTGCAGATGTACTTGGCTGCACTCAGAAGGGTAGGCAAAAATCAAACTTTTTGCTGCCGGTTTAAGAAACCCAATAAACCCAAAAAGGCTAAGGATGCAACGTTACAGTAAAGCACCACAAAGTGCGGAGGAGTCTATTAAATATGTTCTGCCTGAGGCCGTCGCCCATGCGTCAGCTGTACCAGAGCGGTCTACGAAGCGAAAAACAGGCTGCCCCTGTGACTCAGCAATCGTGAAAAGGAGCGTGGCTCTTTCAGCTACCGGAGTAGGCAGGGTTCTTTAGGGTTTAGGGTTTAGGGTTTAGGGTCTGTCAGTTTCAGGATCTCGAAAAGGAAGCGCCCGAATGGTATGTACACAGTGCACAGTAGGCCGGCGTTTAGCTGGCCGGCCTCGTGAGACGAGAACGCTGTCAGGATTCAGGATGATTTAGGCTTCAGTAAAGAAGTTTAGGCGGTTTAGGGCTTAGAGATGACTAGCGTTTCCTGCTTATGGCTTCAGGTCACGAGATGAGATATCCCCACTGCTTGCCAAGAATCCTGACAGAAGGTGACTGACTCACATGATATCGCTAGACGCGCTCCTCCTGCACCTACGGTGGTAACAGCCCCGGGCCCTGAGCGTCTCATTCCGCCAGCCGCTGTCCTCATCTCCTCGGCAGGAGAAGCGGCTCAACCAACTGCAAAAACGGTTAGCCCAAAGCACGACGGATGCAATTCTTAGGGCTGCAATGCATGAAGCCCTTATGCCCTCAAACCCTCGTCAATCCCTAGAACCCACTGGGATTCCTTGTGAACCTAGACAAACCCATATTCGCCGGTTTTGAAAGTTCTCTGAGAACCTGACCGAGGTTTAGGGGTTTAGGGCTATTAAACCCTGAACAAGATGCGTCTAAACCCAGCGAAAAGCGAAAATTGGGTTTAGGCTTTACAGTGGGGGGACCTCCAGCTCTAAAACCATGAACTCTACTTCCCTCTGCACCCCACCTCACCCAAGAGCTCTGCGGCTGAAAGTCTCTGCATTGGCGAGATCCAGCCCTGGCGGGGCCCTCAGGAAACTGCCACTGGGAAGTTCCAGTCCTCGCAGTCGGGCTTTGTGGGCGTATCATTAGGGCTGCAAGGCGTACGGGGTAGTAGGTCTTGTAGCATGTCTGGGGCCTACGAAATGCAGAACTAAGAGCCTTGTAGGGTTTTTAGCGTTCCCTTTTCTTGGGGGCGGGTGGAGGGCCCGTGCCTGGAGGTGGTGGCAAGTCTGGTCCTGGCATGCAGTGGGAGTGGAGGGGGTAGGGTCTAGGGCTTTAGGGCTTAGGGTGGCGTTTGGGTATGGGGGTTACAACTTGGTGTGTTTTCGGCGCTTCCGGGTCTATGCAAGGCTGGTGCAGCTTGGGGTTTTCTGATGTCAGCTCGAAACCTGAACAGCCCCCCACCCCGCCCTGGATCTAGGAACCAAGATCTTGCATCTTTCCACCACGGAGGAGCTGTTTTTGCGCTATGCTGAGTTAACAGGCTTAGCAAGTGCCATTTGTCTTCAATTCTGGGCTGAGTTGTCCGGGTTGCGCTTGGGATTTGGGGCTTAGGGTTTTGGGCCTCGAAGCTCTAAACCGTGCCGGCCCAGTTTTCTACAAGAACGAAGGGTTAGCATTCAGCATGATAGGAGGATTCCACTACCCCCCCCCAAAAAAAAAAAACAAAACAAAAAAAGAAAAACAGTTAACATACTTCTATATATTGAATCTGCACATGTATTCAGAATCTTTCCAGGAGGTGTCGGATAGGCGCAGCTTCCGCAAGCTTCTTAAAAGCTTGACTTCTTAACGGCTCGAATGATAGTCTGGGCCAATGACCTTTTTACAGCATCAGCGCCCCTGTGTCTGAAGGCAGAACCGAACATGTAGCTCCTTTCTGATGCACATGAACAGTCTAGAGATAGAAAAATATCTGAACTTGGGCTCGTTTGCTTCGTCTTCAGGAACTCAGAGAGTCGGCAGGCTGTACTTGTGCTGGGCACTGACTTCAGAGTGGGTTCGTAAAAGAGCCGGTTCACCAACCTGCAAGACTACCGATACTGGAGGCGTGCCTTCCCTTCAAGCCGGGCAGCCTCCAAGTTTCATCCTTCTGCAAGGATGAAGGCCTGGAAGTCTCGGATGTCATGCTCCACATATCTGAAGCCCATTTTTTCAAGATATGCCACTTCCGCAGTCTGAGAGGCGCCCAGACCGCTGTGCTGCCGAGCCCTCTCTTTGGCAGCATCATCGGGCAGCTGCTTCCACGCCAGCTTTCCTTGACCCTTCCGGCCTTCAAAGTAGAACACGTGCAGCTCTTGTTTAAGATCCACTGCGAGGTCCAGGTTTTGCTTCCACTCCTGGAACCACTGGCAGCCCCATGGTGCTCGTCCATCTTTCGCAGCGCAGAGGTCCTCTGCCTTCTTAGTGGCCTCCACAAGCTGCTTCTGCCAATCGATGTCGGACTGATCGCTCTTAATTACCAGCAACTGGCCCATAGCCTCGGCATCTCTTCGCTTAAAAGCCAACATCTTTCGGTTGGCTGGGCTGTCGATCTGGCCCGGCTCCACCTCTGCCACGCTGAGATATGTAGAGGCTGGAACTCGACCATAGAGGCTGTGGCACCAGCACTTTCCCGGTTCCTCTGGATTCTCGGCATGTTGCCCAAGGCCAGAGGCCGCATCTGTCAGGAAGACGCAGGCCAAAGACCACGCACCCTTCCCTGTAGTCTCGGCTTGGGTCGTGACGCTGGACACGGCTTCGTCCCACAGCTCACTGTACTTGCCGGGGAAAGACACGATGCACTTCGCGGCTTTCTGGTTGATGTGTCCAGGAAAAGCGACGCGTTTAGATGCGAAGCCAAACCCAGACAGGTCCGCGAGCTGGCGGAAAGCATCCATCGGGTGATTCCACTGTTTTGGCCCAATCATCCCGCTCAGTGTGAGGGTGTTGCAGATTTGAAGGAACAGGTCTAGAGTCAACCAAGTCGCCTGTTTTTGGCGAGGGATAAAGAACTTAAGAAAAACTGCATCGTACCACGCATACCAAGCCTGAAAGCTGAGAAAAGGGCCTATAATAACCAAGACAGCATTTGCCAACAGGAGCCATGCAATTGACCTAATGGCCTGGTCACCACCAGCAACCCACAAAGCTCTGCATGCAACGACAGACAGGCTGCAAGACTGCGTGACAACAGTCACCACGCAGCAGGTCTCACAAAACATTTCTACTGGTGGAAGCTTGGCCATTCCCAAACCGAGAGAACCCCAAAGCAGCAGAGCAACGACGCCGATGACAGAGATGGCTTGGCAGAACACGGATGTGCGACGCAGGCCCAAGGCGACGAGCTTCAAATTTGTCATGTGCACTTGCATGACGTTGCAAGCGATTTCCCAAAGCAGCGTGACTGCAACACAGTCATACAGCCTTCCCGTAAACGTGCGGAATCCCGGATCCCCCACAAAGAAGGCCAGCGCAAAGATCGTGCGGCGACTCCAGATGTGTAGCGCAGACTTCTCTGAGAATCTGTCATTATTGCGGAGAAAGGCGTAAATGCCGAATCCAGTCATGGCAGGCCGCAACACAGCATCGAATGTCAGGTACGAATCGTCCAAACCAACTACCGAAAGATTCGCGGCAACTCGCACCAAGCTGTAAATCGCAAGTGCTTTGGTCTTAGCGGTGGTCGCAGCTCCACGCCCTGAATGAGCCTCGAGACGCTGGCCCATCTCTGCGAGAGTCCTCCTCTTGCAGCTGGGCGGCTGCCGTGGCTGATGCTCCGAAGAGCTCTCTGGTTGGGAGGCCGTGCCCCTCAAAGGCAGCTCGATTCCTTGCCCCTCAGGATCTGTAGCAGACATGGCTCAGGACTTTGCGCTAAGCCCCAGAGAGTCCCAATCCCTTCACCAGCCAAACTATCACTTCATCGCCGCTGTTCCTTGCCGTGCTAGTTTAAGAGCACCACCTGCCAAAAGGAACAAAACCATCACATAAATGTATGTGTATATACATATATATATATAGAGGGTACCCCCCCATGTAGCCACGCCTTTTTCCAGAATCCTCGCTTCTGCAGAAACGTGTGGGTTATTGGGATCGGGTGAGTGCCTCAAACTCCGGAATACGTATACAAGCAGACGAGCCCGAAATATACTTATTTAGTATACATAAGTACGTAAGTTTCGCTCCGGAACAGGATGAAACAAGATGAAACGAATTCAAATGCATTCAAAACGCATTCAACTTGAATGCACCCTTGGATTCAAGATTCAAGATTCAAGATGCCCGGGCAAGTTCCCCCGGGCACCTTGAATCTTGAATCTTGAATCCAAGAGCGCATTCAAGTTGAATGCATTTTGAATGCTTTTGAATGCGTTTCATCTTGTTTTGAAACGGTGTCATCTAGCTGCATTAAGGAAATTAGCTTTCGGGAAAGGGATCCCACCCTTATGGGCTTAGCACTTTTTAGGATTTGAAGGGCATTAAGAAAAGAAGATTTCGGGAACAAGAGATAGGGATCCCGCTCTCCAGGATTTAGGCTTAAGTTTAGGGAAAAGCCGCTCTCTAGGCCCTAAGCCATACGCAGTCCCACGATGTAGGGCTCAGGGTTGCGGATTCAGGCTTAAGTTTAGGGTTTAGGGTTTAGAGGGTTTAGAGTTTAGGGTTTTGGCTTGCAGACGTGCATCCTTAGGATTTGGGCCTCTCCACATCCCACCCTTTAGGGCTTAGCGAAGAGGAATTAGGGAGTAGGACCTGTTATGAAGACGTAAGGAATCCCTCTTCAGGGTTCGGGAATAAGATTTGAGAGTAAAAATGAGAGAATAAGATTAAGGGATCCCGCTCTTTAAGATTTAAAGAAAAGAATGAGGCAATAAAAGTCATTTTTGCTTTCGGATTTAGCCTTAAGTTTAAGGTTTAGGGACGGACCACCCTTCTTTGGGCTTAGGGAATAGGACTTAGGGAAAGATATTCAGGGATTAGGATGGGGAAGAAGATTTCGGGATCCCAACCCCTTAGGGCTTAGCGAAAACGAATTCCTGAATAGGATCTGCTTTTAAGATGTAAGGACACCTTTCCAGGGTTCGGGAATAGGATTTGAGAGTAAATATAAGGGAATAAGAATAAGATTCAGGGATCCCGCTGTTTAAGATTTAATGAAAAGAATGAGACAATAACAGTCATTTTTGCTTCCGGATTTAGGATTAAGTTTAGGGTTTAGGGACGGATTACCCCTCTTTGGGCTTAGGGAATAGGACTTAGGGAAAGATATTCAGGGATTAACATGGGAAAGAGGATTTCGGGATCCCACCCTTTAGGGCTCAGCGAAAACGAATTACTGAATAGGATCTGCTTTTAAGATGTAAGGACAGCTTTCCAGGGTTCGGGAATAGGATTTGACAGCAAATATACGGGAATAAGATCGAACGGTTCCTGCTCTTTAAGATTGAGATTTGATAGAATCCACCTTGTACGGTTTCGCGAAAACTATTTGGGGAATAGGATTTGTTTTTTAGGATTCAGGGGCTCTCCGTTTCAAGATTTAGGGGCTCTCCTCCTTGGAACTTCAGGACCCTATTGCCCAAATCCTTATCACTAAATCCTAAAGAGCGGGGTCCCTACATCTTGTTCCCTAGATTTATTCCCTTAATGTTATTCCCGAAACCCTAAGAAAAGGCATCCTTGCATCCTAGTTTAGGATAAGACTTGGGGGATAGGTTATTTGAACATGCTCCTCTTTAAGGAATAGGACTTCGGGAATAACATCAAGGGAGTAAGATTTGGGTCCCACCCTTTACGGTTTCGCGAGAAGGATTAGGGAATAGGATATGTTTTAGGATTCAGGGGCTCTCCCTCTCAAGATAGTCAGGGGCTCTCCTTCTCAAGATATTCAGGGGCTCTCCTTCGCAAGATTTAGGGGCTCTCCTTTAGAATGTAAGGATCCTATTTCCCAAATCCTTATCACTAAATCCTAAAGAGCGGGGTCCCTAGATTTATTCCCTTAATGTTATTCCCTAAGCCCTAAAGAGGGGCATCCTTACATCCTATTGAGGAGAGCCCTTACATTTTACAAACCAATCTTATTCCCGAAGTCCTCTGTGCTAAATCCTAAAGAGCCGGATCCCCAAATCTTACTCCCTAAACCTTATTTCCTTAATTTCACTCCCTAAATTGTGATCCCGAATCCCTGAAGAGGGGGGTTCCTTAATTCCTGTAGAGGAGAGCCTCCTCAATCCTAAATATAAATCCTATTCCCGAAGTCCTTTACGCTAAGCCCGAAAAAACCCAGATTTTCCGGACATTTTTCCGGAATTTCAAGCACAAAGCGTGGGTACATGAGGGGGAGGGGGGGGTAGCATATATATACCAAAACGGCGGCCAACACCAATTTCAGGTTAAGGAGGATCCAGATGATAAATTCGTCTTGCAACAATGCACAGGAGGGGGGGGGGGGGGGGGGGGGGGGGGGGAGGGCAAAGGGCAGGAGGGCGTGCCTAGTATGCATACCTACTGATATATACATGCAAACAGTAACATGCAGACTATTCACACAAATATCATATATACCATCTTTAATTAGCACAAAAATGGTGGATTTGGGACTTAGTATGGCGATGCAGGAGAAACAAGGTCAACAGTCCAAGCCCAAGAACGGTTTTCAAATGTGAGGTGCTTCGAACTCTAAAACCTAAACCCTATGATCCCTGTTATGTAAACCCTTTTAACCGGTAGACCCTATTGACTATACAAACCCTGCGAACCCTATGAACTCTATGAATTCCCCAAACCCTACAAACCCTATGAATCTTATACACCATATACACCCTCTGAACCCTACGAACTCTTGGAACCCTACAATACCCTACAAACCCCATAAACCCAAGAAGCGTAAGCCCCGAAGATCTGAGTCAAAGGCCTGGCTGATCCATCGGGCCGAGCCCTGCACCACCCAACGTGTACGGGGACGCGCCCGGGCCGTCGTGGGCGTACCTGGTGGTTCCCTACCTTCGGGTTTTAGGGTTTTGGGTTAGGGGTTTAGGGTCCCCTATAAAACATGGCACCCATGTGATAAACGAACTCCGATACAGACTCATCTGGAGAACTACCCACCTGGCATCTCAAGTCGGCCTAGGGATGGTTAGAGGGCTCAGAGGCTTAGGGGGTTTAGAGAGTTTGAAGTGTCTATGGGCTTTGGAGCGAGCTGCGGGTTGAGTAGGACTTCGAGGAAAGCTTAGGAGCTCAGGGTGTGGGGTTTAGGACGTAGGGTTTAGGAGGGAGATCAGGACCTTCCCGGGAGCATGACTTGCATGGCAAGAGAGCAACATGGTTTTGATTCCCCCACTCCCGCTGAACACGCCAAAACCCTGTGAAACCTTGTCGGGTTAAGGGTTGAACTCTTCTGCTTGAGCGATCCTCTGCACTTCAGGAGACCTGATTGTTTTAGAAGCTTCCTAGGAAGCGACACTTAAGGTCTCGCTCCCCCACCCCCCCCGCCCTTCCCCAAACAAACAGCTTGAGGCAAGGCGCCAACAGGCGTCCCCCAGCTTGCAGAAGCCTTCGCGATCAAAGCGACACCTTGCAAGCAAGTGCGGCTTTCATCAATCAAGATCTGCAGGCTTGGGCTTTAAGATGTATAGGGTTAAGATTTCTGAGCCCATACCCCCCCCCCCCCCAGGCGGGTTCGAGGGTAGTCCGGACATGGGGTTATCGCTGGGAAAACTCCAGTTGCCAGATGCAAGTTTCTAAGCCTTGTAAGCCCTTACTAAACACCCTTACCCTCACAATATAGCTCCTAGCCCAGACCCCCACATCCACCCGAAATCGTCAATCAGCACTTCTGTTCGCTGTCGTGACCTCTTGGAGCTCTTCTGAGGGCGTACAGAGTTTAGGGGTTAGGGGGTAGGGTTTAGGGCAAAAACCGTAAACCCTTTTGCGTATAAGGTTTAGGGTTCTAGAGTCTAAGGACCCATGCGCGACTTCGCACGGGGACATGAGGTGCCCACTCACATACCTCAGAGAAGCCGAGGCCCATCTTGCGAGTCTTTTGGCTTCAGCCCCCCCAGGGTTTGGGGTTCAGGGTTCCCCCCCTTTTAAAGGGTGGCCTTGTCTACTATTTGTTTAAGAACCCCCCCAACAACATGAAAGATAACAAATCCCAATCTTACCCTTATAAGGAAGGATATATCTTTATGGGGTTCTTCAGCAATAGTAGACATACTTAATGGACCTGCAGGGCTTGCTGGTAGCATTTGGCAGCCATTGATATTATGATATTCTAAGTCATCCAGAAGCAATGTTGGTACGCATTCCAACGCAACCCCAGCTCAGTCCCTAAGCCCTAGAACCGAAATCGTTCGAGGTTTCGAGGGGGTGCGGGGTTCAGGAAGTTTAGGGTTTAGGATTTGCATGGGGTTTAGGGCTTAATACTGTATTTTAGGAATTGGCGCTCTCCTGCCTGATCTGAGCGCAAGCCGCCCGCTGCTCCCCCGCCCCGTGGGCGAACGCGCAGTCACGGAGGCGGAGGCACTTGCCTTTCCTTGGTGTGACTGCTTGCGATCTGGGTTTAAGGTTTAGGGTTTAGGGTTCAGGGTTATCTGCATCTTTTCCGAAAGAAGAGCATCCCGAACATACCCAAAAACGCTACAATCTTTACAAAGTCTTGGAACCCCAACAAAGTAGCCCTGTTCTAGGCAACCCCTTTCTCGATGCAGGTTCGAGCGTTTGGGCGTGTTAGGGTCTTGAGGGCCTTCCTTGTAGAATGATGAAAAACCATTGGGGTTTAGGGTTTAGGGGTTGGGGTTTAGGGTTTAGTTGCCCGTGTTTGCGACTTCGGTGCACGTCAGCACCCTGAATAGAGTAGCTAGATCTGTGAATCACGGCAAACCCTGGGGTACCCGAAACAAGCCCTAAACCCAAAACCCTTATTGGCATCGTTACGAGGTCAAAAATTTAGAGCGCCGAGTTAGCAGTGTCCAAATGTGCCCACGATGGGCTCGATCTAGAATCGTGGACCCTTAGCCCCGAACCAGAAGGAGTCAGTCTACTACTACAGAGGTCCCCACCCCCCATCTCCCCCAACAAAAAGGGCCTAAAAACTTAGATCACCACCCGCCCCCGAACCTTGCTGCCGCGATTCAGCCAGAACCTGCAGAGGAGCCTTGGACTGGGTATAAAAGGGTTTACCAGGGACTGCAGGGGTTGAAAAGGGTTCGCTGGCCCTGTGCCCATAGCTCTGCGTGAGCGGAAACCTATGTCTCAGCACCGCAGCTTGCTCTTCTTGTCGCTGGCACAATTGCTGAACTCAAGTGCAATCTCCGGCAGGTGTTTGCTCAAAGTGTTTTGTGACATGTCTGATTCCGCCAGTGGGCCAAGGGCCTGCAACAACATAGCGGCAGAATCTACGATTTGCGGGGTCGGAAACCAATCATCTGCTATTGATCCCTCGCCCCAGAAACCTGCATCGGACATCCGTGCGCCTTGTGGGGAGTTGGCAGGATTCCTGCTACTACTGTCCCTCACAGCACCCTTACAGCACAGTTGCCGGGCCTTTTTTGGCCCAGAAAGAAACACGCGACACCGCTCAGCGCCAAGAGGCGTCTTCTGAGGCTTTGTGGGGTCATCCTCCTCAGCTGTAAGTGGCATCTCATGGATCATAGAGCCGGGGTTCGGGTGGAGGGCTATCCCCCCTGATTGAGCAATCTCTCTTAGAAGGAACGGCTGTAAAAAGGCAAGGCCCTAAATCCGCTTCTTGCCATGGAAACCCTAATCCGCAAACTCCAATCCCTAAACCGGTTTAAAAAAAAACGATCTAGGACTTCAGAGCTTCTTTTGGGCAAATCCCTAAACAGGCTCAAAGCGATCTAGGACTTAAGAGCTTCTTTTGGGAAATTCCGCACTTCGCCCCCCCAAAAAACCGCCACTGGCGTCGAGCGTCGGAGGTTCGCATCGAGGCGGCACTACTCCTTGGCACTGAGGGAGCTACGTCTACCTGACACCCTAGACTCGACCTCTCAATAGAGTTATTTAGGGTTTAGGGTTTTGGGAATCCTAAACCCTAGACCCTTAACGATCCTAAACAAGGCTTAAGACACAGGGGGCCCCTGGATCTCAGGGCTTTGTGGTTTTGGGACACAGGCTAAAGAGACTGCGGGAGTGAGTGAGCATCGTCAGCCACAACAACACAAGGCAACGACAAACAGAAACAGCCAACAACACGCAACCACGACGCGATGACGAGCGAAAAGGCCCAATTCAGCGTGAGGGCTTTTTTGCTCCGGACAAAGCGACCACTAAGCAGGACCGCCACCTGCACCCATCGAGCAGAGTACTGCCCGGCGGGCCGGCATAAGGGCAAGACAGCTTGCCCTCCTCGCGATAACTTCGTTCAGTGCGGCTCTTCCCCCAGAGGTCACCCTTCAGGGTACGAAGCCAAGCAAATACCGTCACCTCCGCTCAGGGCAGTGTGCCAGTCGAGTGCCTATAATGGCAAACACGCTTCTCCACAGATTCCTCTGCAGATACTAAGTGCCCACCCCGACCTGTGCGCACCCGGAGCTACTCACATCACGGCCTCATCCACCTCCACCATTTCCAGCACACCAGGGCCCCCTATTCTGCCATCCCCTTCAAAGCTGGTCGAGTAGCGGGAAGAAACCCAACACTAGACTGAACCTTTAGAGCTTCAGGGTTCACACTTTGGGTGTAGGGTTTATAGGGGGATGATAGGAGGTTCTAGGGGGTTTATTGGGAATCTAGAGTTTATAATATAGGGTGTTAGGTTCAGGATTTAAGGGTTTTAGGATGTTGGGCTCATAGGCGTGAAGCCGAGAAACTACCTGCAAGGAGTTGTTGAATTTGGGGAGTCTAGGGTCTCCGGTGAAAACGTTGCCCGGCCATCGGCTCTGCTAGCCCACCCTCCCCAAGAAGAAGAACAGCTTTGCTGCACTTAGGAGGGTGGCTATAAATTAAATTTCTAGCTGCCTTACTAGGAATTCCAAGAAACCCAAAAAGGCTAAGGTTCTAAAGTTACAGTAAAGCACCACAAAGTTCCTTGATGCCCCAGGCCTCCAATCAACCCCAAACCTGCAGAAGCCCAAGCACACAAAGCCTTGTATTGCAAGAGACCCAAAGCCCTGGACCCCCAGAGCCTTCTAGGGGCCTAAAAACCCGAAATTCTAAACACGCTAGAGTTCTAGAGCCCCAACCCTAGAGTCCAAGAGCCCCAGAACTCTACAGCTTAAGAACCTAGACCGAGCCCTAAACCCTAAACCCTAAACCCGAAACCCTAAACCCTAAACCCTAAACCCCAGAATTTCTGAACCCTAGAACCCCAGAAGCCCAACAAACCCTAGAACCCTAGAACCCTAGAACCCTAGAACCCTAGAACCCTAGAACCCTAGAACCCTAGAACCCTAGCACCCCCGAACCCCAGAACCCTACTAGAACCCCTAGAACCAAATTCAGGGCCCATGAACATACCCTTAGATACCCTCGAACCCTCGAACCCTCGAACCTCAGAACCCTAGAACCCTAGAACCCTCGAACCCTCGAACCCTCGAACCCGACAGGCGGCAGCGCATCCAGCATCGGCTGGGGCAACTCTGGCTCTGCTTCTGAGCGGCAGATTCACAGGGGAGGTGTAGGAATTAGGGCTCAGGGTTCTAGGGTTTAGGGTTTAGGGTTTAGGGTTCTAGGGTTGTAGCGTTTAGAGTAGAGGCACTCTAGGGTTCGAGGCTTCGGGGTTACAGAGTTTTGGGTTCTATGGTTGACAGGAGTTCTAGGGTTCTACGGTTCCAGGGCCTGAGGCTTTGCAAAGGCGGGAGTCGCGGAGCCGGACCTGAGGTGCCAAAGCCTTCCGAGCTCGACTGGGTTGGCCTTTAGACCCAACATGTTTGTGTGTATATGCACATGTAACAATAAAGGAGATACAGATATGTACATAAATAAATAAACAAATAAACAAATATATATATATATATATATATATATATATATTCTATACACACATGAATAGGGTCCCTTGTAGAAACCCAAATTAAGGAACATAGAAAATATCCCAAGCGCCAACCGAGTCGAGCGCGCATCCCTCAAAGATCCCTTCGGCCTCCCGGAGCGAACGGCAGCAAGGGCCCCGGATCTGGTTCCAGCTCTTCCACGGCATCTTCGCCGTGCGCGTACCTCTGGTGCTTGCTTACTTCAAGCCCCCAAGTTCCAGAGGGGATTCGGCCGGTAAGGGCCTAGTTTTGGGGGGAGCCAAAATCCGAGGCCCTGAACCCTTCAGACTCCACAAAAGGTTTAGGGTGAGGGCATGCTCTCTCATAGAAGGAAAGAGAGAGAGAGAGAGAGAGAGAGAGAGTGAGAGAGAGAGAGAGAGCGAGAGAGCGAGAGGAAACAAGTATGTAAAAAACACCAGAAAGGAGGGAGAGACAAGGCAAACATTCTGGACAATCTGCGCGCGAGTCAAGCAAGGCAATAGATCAGCAGTGTCCAGCACCTATTGCAGTGCCTTTGTTCGTCTAGGATCTCAGGGTAGCTACATGGTCCCTCAAAATGGGCCCTGCAAAGGGGACCCATCAGATACCCCTTATATACTCTATAGAACCCAAGGGCCCATGCTTCAGAACCCGTTACAGAGGGTAAGGGACCATATCAAGGGCTCATGAAACTACCCGTAGACAGGAGGGAGTCATCAGTCAAGAAAAGAAACCTGGAGGTGACAAGCCCCACACTTTGCAAATGTACTTCAATGATTCGGCGCCCGCAGGGGAAGCTTAAGGCTTGTGTAGTTTGTATAGTTTACGTTGTTGGTATATGATTTAGCCCTAAACTTTGAACCCCAAACCCCTAACCTCAACCCCCAAACGCTTTATAGGCACGGTTAAGGTTTAGGGTTTAGGGTTTAGGGTTTAGGGTTTAGGGTTTAGGGTTTAGGGTTTAGGGTTTAGGGTTTAGGGTTTAGGGTTTTTGGGGTTTGGGAAGCCTGAAGCCTTGAACCCTGCGGCACCAGCAGGCGGTGCCCTGCTTGCAGAACCCCTCCTTGTCAAAGCGGCACCTCCAACAGGGAGGTGAGCCAACTACCCCTATAAACCCTAAACCCTAAAACCTAAACCCTAAAACCTAAAACCTAACCCAAACCCCTAAACCCTAAACCCTAAACCCTGAACCCTGAACCCTGAACCCTGAACCCCTTTGACGGCACCCTGAAGCTTGAAAGGCTTCAGGGTTTAGGCTAGGGGGTTGGGGGTCAGGGGTTGAGGTGTTTCAAGGGTTTCAAGGGTTCAGCGTTTAGGGGTTTAGGGTTCAGGGGCCTGGCGGGATGAGGGTTTAATAGGGCTTAGCCCTAAGCCCTAAATTCTAAACGGTAAACCCTAAACCCTAAACCCTAAACCCTAAACCCTAAACCCTAAACCCTAAACCCCAAACCCTACATAGGGCCTTTAGGGTTCAAGGGGAGACACCACTTCGGGAGCCTCATGCGCTTGCAAGCCTCGCGCTGCTCGTCCTCCCCTTAGGAAGGTCCAAGACGATGGGGGAAAGGGCCGAAACCCCTAAACCCTAAACCCTGAACCCCAAACCCTAAACACCTAAATCCTAAACCCTAAACCCTAAACCCTAAACCCTTAGGGGGCGGGGGGGGGGGGGGGGGGGGGGGGGGGGCGCTTTGCAGGATTGAGGGGTTTAGGAGAGGGAGCTCCACCACCGAACTGCGAATGGTTTAAGGTCTGAGGGCTTTGCTTGCTCAGAGAAGGGATTTCTTTTCCACACCTCAACTTCCCCTATTGGGCTTCCTTTAGGGTTTAGGGTTTAGGGTTTTTTGGTCTTTTCAGAGGCCAGGAGCAACCTAGGAATCAAAAAAGGGTGCCCCCTCTTTGGTTTTTTTCAGAGGATTTTAAGGGAACCCCAAGCCTGAAGAAAGGAAATAAGGGCCCACGCCGGGTGCTAGCATCTTACCAAGGACCGCCAAGTTCAGGGCTTTCAGGGTTCAGGGTTTAGGGTTTAGGGTTTAGGGTTTAGGGTTTAGGGTTTCGGGAGGCTCTTGGATGGCAGGCTTCGGGCTTCAGGGTTTAGGCTGCACGTAAGACCCCTCTAAGCTCTACCAAACGACTATACCACCCCTAAGACCGGATGAGCAATTCATCCTAGCCGAGGCGCCAGAACGATCCATGTGTTTTTGGGGTGGGGGGGGGGGGGGGGGGTGACCCAAAACAAGAAACCCCCTAAGCCCTAAACCCTAAACCCGAAACCCTAAACCCTACCGGCAAGATTTAGAGGCACCCTGACGAGCCCCCCCCCAAACTTCAGGTCCGTGGCGTCGACGTCCCTGAACCCTTCTGCAACATTCAGGTTCTGGCGTTGCTTTCCCCCGCCGAGCTCAAGAACTTTTGAGGTTTAGGGTTTAGGGTTTAGGGTTAGGGTTGAGGGGAGGGTTGAGGGTTGAGGGTTGAGGGTTGAGGGTTGAGGGTTGAGGGTTGAGGGTTGAGGGTTGAGGGTTGAGGGTTTGAGGGTTTGAGGGTTTTAGGGTTTTAGGGTTTTAGGGTTTTAGGGTTTAGGGTTTGGGGTTGAGGGTTTAGGGTTTAGGGTTTAAGTGGGGCCGTACAGTGAACCTCCCAAGCTCTACGAAGCCCTGAACCCGACACCCGAAACTTCAGCTCGGGCCGCCATGGGCAAAGGCGCATCCGGAGGTTCGCTGGCACTTCCCGCGCCTAGCATTGTGGCTTATACATAGCTTCTGCGTGCTACAACAACTTACAAGAAGGCATGAGTTGTGTTTGCCTCATCTCTTGTAGAAAGGTACGATAGCTGTCGGGCTCGAATCAGGAATGCCGCAATGGCAAAAACACCTAAGACCACCAGCCGCAAAGTGCCCAACACCCCAATCCCTAAACTTTGTCTTCGAAGCCCAAACTCCTGAAGCCTTATAAGCCATAAGGTAAGAGCTAAACTCCAAGCTCCACAGTCTTTACTTTCTACGAGCCTGAGCGAGGCAAACAATAAAGAAATCAGGCTTAGAGTGACTGGGCTGCTCGAGGCACCGATAGCTGAGGGTGCACGGCAGGGTTTACAGTTAGTGCTTAAGCCCCACGTAGTGCCTGCAACCCTGTCCATGAACCTTCAAGTAGGGTTCTACGGTTTGGGGGGCTTTTCGGGCTAAGCCTGAACCCCGACATGAAGTTTGCGGTTGCTCACAGCCAGAGTTCACAGGTCATGAAGGACTGGAAAAAAATTGGGGCTCCTCCTGAAACCATAAACCCTAAACCCTAAACCCTCAACCCTCAACCCTCAACCCTAAACCCTAAGCAGGTCTGAGACTCCGATAGTTCAGCCACGGCGCAGCCAAAACTTGCATAGGAGCCTGCAGTGTTCCGGCTTCTTTGACTTGCCCCGGGAACCCAAAATGCATAATGGAGGGGGCCTCCTTGGGTTCAGGGTTTTAGGCTTTTAGGGTTTAGGGTTTAGGATTTAGGGTTTAGGTCTTAGGGTTTAGGGACTTCTTGTCAGCACTCTGGATTCGAGACACCCTCGGCCATCGATGCATCTCTAATTTACGCCGAATGCCTGGAGAGGTCTGCGAAGTTGTGTTTAAAATGGGAATGTACCTAATCTAAACCCCGTGTAGCGCTTGGGCGAAAGACCTTCCAAGCCCAAATCCTAATCTTACCACCCAAAACCCACTGCCCACATGAGTCTGGTGCAGTTGCCGGGCTGTGGTCCTCTTTCAATTCAAGCTTTCCGAGCCAGAGATTTGTTGGGGGGTAGGTGCACCCTAAACCCTTGGGAGGGTTGACACTCTTCCCAGAGACTCCAAAAACCCCTTAATTGAGGAATATACCTTAAAGGATAATCGGAACCCTAAAAAGATTTAAGGAAATATTCCTTAATTCAGGGGTTTTTGGAGTCTCTGGGTTCACTGTGTTCCCTCTCCCACCGCAAAAAGCAGCTGATTCTCGGCCCTCTACGAGGGGAAGGGCAGAGGTTGAGGACTACAAGGTTGATTGACAAAAACCAACGGGAAGCCCTAAACCCTAAACCCTAAACCCTAAAGCCCTAAGCTCCCTGAAACCCCAAACCCTCTGCACCCAAAAGCGCCCAAACTCCCAAAACCTGAAGGACAAGCCTAAAACGCGCAAACTCGTAAAACCTGAGGACCGGCCTTAAACGCGCAAACTCCTAAAACCTGAAGGACCAGCCTAAAACGCCCAAACTCCAAAAACCTGAACCCTAAACCCTAAACCCTAACCCTCGGACCAAGGCACGTCTTCTGCGGCTTCATGCCGCTCATGTCAGCATAGTCTAACCACTGGTCGACGTCCACCTGGAGCTTTGGGAGCTTCAGGGTGGGTTTAGGGTTTAGGGTTTAGGGTTTAGGGTTTAGGGTTTAGGGTTTAGGGTTTAGGGTTTAGGGTTTAGGGTTTAGGGTTTAGGGTTTAGGGTTTAGGGGTTTAGGGTTGGAGGACTAAGGGCTAAGGAAATTGAGGTTTAGGGGAAGGCACTTAGGATGTGGGGAAGTGGCATGTAGCCCGGCAGGGCTCTCAACCTTAACACTTTAGGAAAGAAGCAACACAAGGAGCATGCCGAGCCCTACAAACCCTAAACCCTAAACCCTAAACCCTAAAAGCCTAAACCCGAAAAGCCTAAACCCTAAACCCTAAACCCTAAACCCTGAACCATGAACCCTGAAGCCGTGGTCTGCCTGACGACAAAGTGCAACACAACTATGCGCCATTCTCTCGATACGTGTATACCCTACCCATCTTGAAGGAACATCCGAAAACACGCAAAGAAAGAAAGATGGACAAACAATACCTGTGTATATATATATGCTACCCCCCCCCCCCCATGCGCCCACGCTTCAGCATGGTTTCCAGACAAAAACACTACGTTCCGCCACCCGCGGTGGTTTTTAAAGCGGGGAGGAACTCCCATAAAACTCCAGCAGAAGTGACCTGAACAATTTGCTCGAGATTGTGGATTGCATGCTATGAGTTTAAATAGAAATCCTATGCATGTGAATAGCGTTCCTATCAAATTAAATTGGGTTCAATAGGATTCATCTTGTTTCAATAGGAATCTTATAAAAATGAAAAGGAAACCCATTAATAGGAATGAGAACCCTTAATGCTATTAAATTCTATGGGAACCCTATTCAAATGACAGAATCCTATCTACATTGAAAGGAATCATACATTTGTAGGAGCCTTATTAAACTAATTCGGCAAACTATGGAAATGTATTGGGATCTTATACGCAGAAAAACAGGAATCCTCTATTTCAATCCATAGGAACCCTAGAAAAAGTAGAACCGAATTATACTTGATAGCAATCCTAATAAACTGAAGAGGGCCCCTACTAAAATTAATAGGAGCCAATGGGACTCCTATAAAAAACAAGTGTGAACCCCTAAATAGTAGGAATCCTACTAAAATTAATATGAGCCTAAACCAATCGGTATCCCTTTCAAACGAATGAGATCCCTATTAAAATAAATACGAAACCCATTAACATGAATAAGCATCTGATTAAACTTGATAGGAATTTGATTACATTAGTAGGAGCCTTATTAAAAGAATTAGGAAGCCTATGAAACTTTATTGGAATCCTATAGAAATAAATAGGAATCCTCTATTGACTTCATAGGAATCCTGCCAATATTTTTCGGAACCGGTGAAAGTTAATAGGAAGCCTATGAAAATGAATAGGAACCCTTACCAAATTGAAAAGAACCGGTTATAATTCATAGGAACCCTTTTAAAATGAGAAGGAACCTTGCTAAATGAATAGAAACCAATCGGACTCCTGTATAAAATAATATGAATCGGCTTAAAAGATTGGTTTTTTGGGACAGTACAGCGTTTTTGCAGTCCCAGGCCTCGAAAGTGCTGTACTGTCCCAAAAAAACCAATCTTTTCAAGGCAAAAAGTGCAAAAATGCTGTACTGTCCCAAAAAAACCAAAAAAAACAAAGTTTGGAGACCTTGGGCTGCTTCAGGGCCTGGAGGTCTCCAAACTTTGGTTTTTTTGGTTTTTTGGGACAGTACGGCATTTTTGCTTGTTTTGGCTTACAAAGATTGGATTTTTTGGGACAGTACAGCGTTTTTGCAGTCCCAGGCCTCGAAAGTGCTGTACTGTCCCAAAAAAAACCAATCTTTTTAAGGCAAAAAGTGCAAAAATGCTGTACTGTCCCAAAAAAACCAAAAAAACCAAAGTTTGGAGACCTTGGGCTCCTCCAGGGCCTGGAGGTCTCCAAACTTTGTTTTTTTTTGGTTTTTTTGGGACAGTACGGCATTTTGCTTGTTTTTGCTTAAAGAGAGTTTGGTTTTTTTGGGACAGTACAGCGTTTTTGCAGTCCCAGGCGTCGAAAGTGCTGTACTGTCCCAAAAAAACCAATCTTTTTAAGGCAAAAAGTGCAAAAATGCTGTACTGTCCCCAAAAAAACAAAAAAAAAAACACAAAGTTTGGAGACCTTGGGCTCCTCCAGGGCCTGGAGGTCTCCAAACTTTGGTTTTTTTTGTGTTTTTGGGGCAGTACGGCATTTTTGCTTGTTTTTGCTTAAAAAGATTGGATTTTTTCGGACAGTACAGCGTTTTTGCAGTCCCAGGCCTCGAAAGTGCTGTGCTGTCCCAAAAAAACCAATCTTTTTAAGGCAAAAAGTGCAAAAATGCTGTACTGTCCCAAAAAAACCAAAAAAACCAAAGTTTGGAGACCTTGGGCTCCTCCAGGGCCTGGAGGTCTCCAAACTTTGGTTTTTTTGGTGTTTTTGGGACAGTACGGCATTTTGCTTGTTTTTGCTTACAAAGATTGGTTTTTTTGGGACAGTACAGCGTTTTTGCAGTCCCAGGCCTCGAAAGTGCTGTACTGTCCCAAAAAAACCAATCTTTTTAAGGCAAAAAGTGCAAAAATGCTGTACTGTCCCAAAAAAACCAAAAAAACAAAAGTTTGGAGACCTTGGGCTCCTCCAGGGCCTGGAGGTCTCCAAACTTTGGTTTTTTTGGGACAGTACGGCATTTTTGCTTGTTTTTGCTTAAAAAGATTGGTTTTTTTGGGACAGTACAGCGTTTTTGCTCTTCTGGGCCTAAAACTTTGGTACAGTAGAGCGCTTTCGTGCTCGCTGCCCTCGGAGGCTTCGAAATCCTAAGCCTCTAAACCCTACCATGGCACCTGAGAGGAAAAAGTGTGGGCATATGGGGGGGGGTACCACATATATATATATATAATCAACTACAGGGTCTCTTCAGATGTATGCCCCCCAGCAGCTCTAACAAGTGCGCGAGGCAACGTATCCGAGATGTGGTAGCTTTGCAGGCTTCTGGTCTACTGAGCCGTTTGTTTGGTAAGCTCCTGAACATCCCAAACTCCAAAAGCTCCAAACCTTCTCCATCTAGACACTGAACCACCGAGTCCGTGAACCCTAAACCCTAAACCCTAAACCCTAAAAACCCTGATCCCCAACTTGAAGCCCCCCAAGCCAACACCAAGACTGCACCACGCGGCCACATCGCTCTGGCAGAAGACACCACTGGCCGTGCTCCGGGCCTCTGCCCCGGCCATACCTTCTGTCTCGACAAGCTTCGGGGCTTAGGCAGGGTTTAGGTCGGGTATGTGGGTTTCCTCGGGGGCTGGTGGAAATTGTGGGCACTTGTTGGTTCCCAGTATGGCGACGTCCTGTTTGTTTCGCGCAACCAAGGGCTCGAGATCTCGATCAACCCCCTTTGAAGCTCCTTTCAGGGTACCGCGCTCTGTAGAAACGCGCAACCACCCCACAAACACCAAGCCCCAAACCCCAAATCGTAAACCCTAAGCCCTAAACTCTAAACCCCTAAACGCCTAAACCCCAAAACCCTAAACACCCAACCACCCAACCCAGACCCCCCCCCTCTGCTGCAACCAGGGTGCTTTGGCTGACCGACTCGAAGATGTCTCCGTCATCCCTGGGTACCAAGCACACCCTAGAAGCCCATTTGGGGGTTTAGGGTTTAGGGTTTAGGGGTTTAGGGGTTTAGGGGTTTAGGGGTTTAGGGGTTTAGGGGTTTAGGGGTTTAGGGGTTTAGGGGTTTAGGGGTTTAGGGGTTTAGGGGTTTAGGGTTGAGGGTTTAGGGATACCTTTTTGGGGTCCTTATATTAAAGGGAATCCTACTATTTGGGGGTCTATATTCGGGGCCCCTCATTTTTGCAAACCCCCATTTGCAACAACCAAAATATGCCTTAAGCTTCGGGCGTCCCCCGAAGTTGTGCCGTTATAAGAGGCGAGTAACTGCATACTGCTAGAAGTAAGTGTAAGAGTGTAAGACCAAGACGAGAGCTCTGAAGCCGTCGCTGCACCCTAAACCCGAAAACCCGGCTTTGAGCTGCTCCTAAGCTGGTGTGGGGCATGTATGGGAAACAGCGAACCAGAAATGTGAGCCTCGATCCGCCCTCAACCCTAAACAAGAAAAACAGCCTCGGGCCACCCCGAATTTGGTGGCCCCGGGTTTACCCTAACCCGAAACCCGAAACCCGAAACCCGAAACCCTGAACCCGAAACCCGAAACCCGAAACCCTAAACCAAACCCCAAGGCTCCCATCTCGGGATTTGTTCGGGCGGACGCCGATTTTTCGTAAGGAATGCTCATGTCTTTGGGACATGCTTATCTGGGGGGGGTCCCAAAAAAACTCTGCGGGTTTGGGGTTGGAGTTTATGGCTTAGGATTTGTGGCTCAGGGACCCTAACCTGCGAACCCCTAAGCCGCCCAAGCCCTAACCCCAAAAGCCCCCAAACCCTAAACCCTAAACCCCAAAAGTTCATGACCGAGAAGCACCGCCAACTCTTCCGGCACCTGGCTAACACGCATCGCCCGCCAGCGGCTTGTACCGTTGACTGTCTAGGGCAGAGGGATTTTGGGGTTTAGGGTTTAGGGTTTAGGGCTAGTGGTTAGGCTTCAGGAGGCGTGAAAACGTGGCAGCCCAAGTACCATCATAAACCCGAAGCCATATAATGCCCACAGTCAACAGTCAGACGCTAAACGAATAAGCAACCCAGATCCTCCAATACCTCTTGGTTAGAAACCTTAAACCAGCCTAGGATGCCAGTTCAACTTTGGGAATTCTGCCCCACTTAGGGAATTGTGAAGGCTGTGAGAACTGCAACCGTGTGAAAACCACAAACCCTCAACACGACACCCCAAGTACAAAAACAACAAGTCCTTACGCCTAATTCACACGACACCTCCCTGAACCCTAAACCCGAAACCCTTATCCCTTATAAACCCTAAACCCTAAACCCTAAACCCTAAACCGCCTCCTCTGGCGACGTCGTCAGCGCGCCCTCTGCAGCGGCATGGGCCTCGGCATCTCTCGGAGGGCTTCACGGTTCGCGAGCGGTTTAGGGTTTAGGGTTTAGGGTTAGGGTTTAGGGTTTAGGGTTTAGGGTTTAGGGTTTAGGGTTTAGGGTTTAGGGTTTAGGGTTTAGGGTTTAGGGTTTAGGGTTTAGGGTCTAGGGTCTAGGGTTTTTAGGGTTGAGGGTTGAGGGTTTAGGGTGTTTAGGGCCCTAAGTCCAGGGTTTGGGGTTTAGAAATGTTAGGGCTTAACTACGGGGTTTACACTAAAGTCAAGCAGCGCAAGCTCAAGCTTTTGCATCCCCCACACTCGGCCCCACATGCAGGCCAGATGCCCGAAATAACAATGACCTTGAAACACAACCCTATGAACATGTGTAATATATATATATATATGGTACCCCCCCCCCCAGTGACCTACCCTTTTTCGCCTTGTCTCAAGTCACAGCTGCACTGCAAGCAAACTCGGTGTGCAATATAGCGTATTTCCTAGGGCGTAGACTAAAATACAACTAAAATCGCATACACGGGACAGTAGAAAAACCAAAAATACCAAAACCAAAAAAACCAAAAAACCAAAACCAAAAAAACCAAAAAAACCAAAACCAAAAAAACCAAAAAAAACAAAACCTAAAAAACCAAAAATACCAAAAAAACCAATTTTCCGGGACTCTCAGGAAATTCCTATGAGGCTTCTCCAAGAGCCCCAGAAAATTGTTTTTTTTTGTATTTTTGGTTTTTTTGGTTTTGGTTTTTTTGGTTTGTTTTGGTTTTGGTATTTTTGGTTTTTTGGTTTTGGTATTTTGGCTTTTTGGTTCGCCTTCACGGTCACGAGGCAACAACTACGCATTTTTAAGTGTGCTTATGCTAATTGTGCTTTTCAAAAATAGTATACAAGTGGTCTTTCTAGTGCTTTAGAACTTTTTGTTTCGTTATTGTGTAAGTAGAGCCGCTAGTGTTTAGTGCATCTTTTGGTTGCACTCAAGTGTAGTAGACCTTATTCAGCCATTACTTGGTGCTCTGGTAGCTAAATTCGCATGGATAATATTTGCCTGGTATATGCGATTAATTATCTAGAAGCAGCATTTGCAATACTTGTCTTGAGAAAAAGCATTTATTGCTTAGAATTGTTTGCTTAAAAAGTGACTCCTACTCGTCCAGGGATACCCCAAAACCCTATAATCCAAACTTCACCAGAGATTCTCCTGAAAAGCTTGCGCTTTTGGATGTTTTTACGTATTTGTGAATTTGCTTGTGGTATGGCCTTCACTTTAGAAGTACTTGTCTAGGATTCTTGTGCATTTTTTAAGCCTGATTGTGCAAGTTGCGTTTTTTCAAGCATAGTATATATGTGGTCTTTATTGAATACTTCAGACATCTTTGTTTCATCGTTATGTAAGTAGAACCGATTTCCATTATTGTGCATTTTTAAGCTTGCTTATGCAAATTGTGCTTTTCAGACATAGTATACAAGTGGTCTTTAGTGAATACTTCAGCAATCTTTGTCTCATTGTTATGTAGGTAGAACCGTTTCCATTTCCGCAAGTGTTTATTTCGTATTTGGTTGAGTATGGTCCTTTAAATCGTATTCACTTGAGTCAAATTGGGCTATTTGCTTAAGAATTCCTCTAGTAGTTAAATTCGCATAGAATGAATACTTCAAAAAAATTGTTTCATGAATATGTAAACATAAGGTGTTTCATTTGACTTTGCAGATAGTATTTCAATAATACTTTGCCTGGTATAAACACAACTGTTTCAATGCATTAGTTGCTCAACAAAGCACTATTTGCCCTTTAAACCACACTTTGCCATATGTTGGTTGTATATGGTGCTTATTTCGTATTTTGGTTGAGTATGGTCCTTTAAATGGTATTCACTTGAGTCAAATTGGGCTATTTGCTTAATAATTACTCTAGTAGCTAAATTCGCATAAAATGATTATTTCAAAAATAGAAACGATTCATGAATATGTAAACTCAGTGGACTTTTCAGAGAGCATACTTTGCCTAGTACAAGCACAATTGTATAAATACAGTATTTGCACTTTAAACCCACACTTTGCCATATTTTGGTTGAGAATGGTGTCTATTTCGTATCTTGGTTGAGTATGCTCCCTTAAATGGTATTCACTCGAGTCAAATTGGGCTCTTTGCTTAATAATTACTCTAGTAGCTAAATTCGCATAGAACCAAGAAAAATGTTTCACTATTTGATTAATACTTTGCCTCGTACAAACACAATTGTATAAACAAATTAGTTGCTCAACAAAACATTAATTGCCCGTTAAAACGCACAATTTGCATAGAAAAACACTGATCTAAACATCTAAAAACAGCATTGTCCGCTTCAGATTCAAAATGTAGATTCTTCCAAATGCTGGCTTATCGGGGTCTGTGAGGTGGGTGTCCCAGTAACTGTCCTTCATTACCCGGTGATTAACTACGCGACTTTTGGGCCTTGTTTGTTATTTTTTGTCAAAAAGGCCTAAAACGGCCTAAAAAGGGTAGGTCGCTGGGGGGGGGGGGTAGCATATATATATATATATATATAATGAAACATATATATATATACATATACATATATATATATATATTTGACATACAAGAGTTAGCCCTAAACCTAAACCAACGTAAAGACAAGCCCTGACTATCCAGGCAAGCGAGAGGCAAACTTGCACGAGGGAGGATAGACGGTGCCCAAGTGAAAGCGGCAAGGGATTCTCCTTCAGAAATACTCTTCATGGTAGGGTAGGGTCAACCCTAAACCCTAAACCTCAGACCCTTGTATGCAGGGCTTAGGTACTTGAAGTCATGGGTACGTCATGCTCTAAGTGGGGTAGCGATACTTCTGACCCTGATGAAATGGACAAAAGCTACCCATGGCACCTTCGGGCAAGGGACTAATGATTAAGCTCTAAACCCCAAGCCCTACGCCCTAATCCCTAAACCTCAGAGCATCGACCATTTGCAACACTGTAGGGTTTAGGGCTTCTCCCTAGGGGGGCTTCGGGTTTGGGGTTGGTAAAGGGGCCAGGGATGGGTTTAGGGTTTAGTCTTCGATTTGAGAACTGGGGAGCTGAAGAACAGTGGAGCTAAGGGTTCGAAGAACTCTCGAGTTTGGGGGTTTAAGGAGCATAGCCTCCAGAGGGCTAGGGGGGTCAGGAACTGTAGGATTGGTTTCTTATGCCGTAAACCCCAAACCATAGGCTTCATGGTTTAAGAATTGCAGGGTTCAGGTCTTAGCATTTAGGGTTGCGGGCCTGGGAACTTACCATTGTTAGCATGGGGCCTTCGGTTTTTGGGGCACCCAAAAAAGGGACAAATTACTTTCAGTTCATGCCTCACCCCCCCCCCCCCCAACCCTAAACCCTAAACCCCAAACCCTAAACCTACACCCTAAAACCCTTCTTCTTCGTAGAAACTTTGGGGCCGCGGGTCGCAGATTTTGCACGGACATTCCGCATTACATGATGTATGGTATTTTGCTCGTATCCGGAAGGACTCCAATTACATACACCCCATATTATATATATATATATATATTATACACATGTATATATATATACACATATATATACATATATATATATATATCATTATTTATCTATTTATATTCATAATTATACTTGCATGTATATTTTTTATACAAGGAACCTGAATTACACTCACAATAACGCAATACAAACCCTTTTTCACGGGCACATGTGGCTTTAAGCATTTTGACAGAACATGAAGATACCTTCCAGTCGAACAGTCTTCATCCTTCTCCAGCGATGAATGCTTGGAAGTCTCGGAGGTAGGCTCCACGTAGCTGAAGCCCATTCTTTCAAGGTATGCCACTTCTGCAGTCTGAGAGGCGCCCAGACCGCTGTGCTGCCGAGCCCTCGCTTTGGCAGAATCATCAGACAGCTTCTTCCAAGCCAGCTTTCCTTGACCCTTCCGGCCTTCAAAGTAGAATACGTTGCAGCTCTTGTTGAGATCCACTGCGAGGTCCAGGTTCTGTTTTCCACTCCTGGAACCACTGGCAGCCCCACGGTGCTCGTCCATCTTTCCCGGAGCAGAGGTCCTCTGCCTTGTTAGTAGCCTCCACAAGCTGCTTCTGCCACTCGATGTCGGACTGATCACTCTTAACCACCAGCAACTGGCCCATGGCCTGGGCATCTCTTCTCTTAAAAGCCAGCATCTGTCGGTTGGCTGGGCTGTCAATCTGACCTGGCTCCACCTCTACCACGCTGAGATATGTAGAGGCTGGAACTCGGCCGTAGAGGTTGTGGCACCAGCACTTTTCCCGGTTCATCTGGATTCTCGGCATGTTGCCCAAGGCCAGAGGCTGCATCTGTCAGGAAGACGCAAGCCAAGACCATGCACCCTTCCCTGTAGTCTCGGGCTTGGGTCGTGACGCTGGACACGGCTTCGTCCCACAGCTCAACTGTACTTGCCGGGGAATGACACGATGCACTTTCGCGGCTTTCTGGTTGATGTGCCCAGGAAAAGCGACGCGCTTGGATGCGAAGCCAAACCCAGACAGGTCCGCGAGCTGGCGGAAGGCCTCCATCGGGTGATTCCACTGTTTTGGGCCCGATCATCCCGCTCAGTTGTGAGGGGTGTTGAAGATTTGAAGGAACAGGTCTAAAGTCAACCAAGTCATCAGCTGTCGGGCATTGTTTAGGTGATTTTCAGCCCAGTAAGCCAGCCCAACAGCTCAGAAGAGGGCCCAGAATGACCAACCTGCATTTGCAAAAAAGGAGCCATGCAGTCGACCTAATGGCCCGGTCACCACCAGCAACCCATAAAGCTCTGCATGCAACGACAATCAGGCCTCAAGACTGAGTGAAAAGAGTCCCAAGCAGCAGATCGCAGCAAGCCCTGCAGCACGAAAAAGACGACATCAGTGTGAAGAATGCAATTCCAAACAAGAGCATTGCAACGACGCCGACGAAAGAGATGCCGCAGCAAAGCATGGCCGTGCAACTTCGTCCCAACGCGGCGAGCTTCAAATTCGTCATGTGCACTTGCATGACGTTGCAATTGACTTCCCAAAGCAGCACGGCTGCCCAAGAAGCCTGGCCATCACGAAGTCGAAGTACGTACCACACAGGGCCCTCCAACGCAAGGGCGCCATGATCCCCTACGAAAAGGGCCAGCGCAAAGATCGTGCGGCGGCTCCAGATGTGTAGTGAGGACTTCTCTGAGAATCGTCGTTCTTGCGGAGGAAGAAAGTAAATTCCCACCCAGTCACACAGGCCGCAGTACAGCATCGAATGTCGGAGCCAATCCCTCAGACCAACTGCCACAGATTCAGAGCAACTCGCACAAAAGGTGTAAATCGCGAGTGTTGCTGTCACGCGGCTGTCGCAGCTCCACGCCCTGAACGTTCCTCCAGATGCTCGCCCAGCTCTGCAAGAGTGGTCTCCTGCTCTCTGGCTGGCAGCCAGCCCCTCAGAGGCAACTCGATTCCTTGCCCCTCAGGACCTCTGGCAGACATCGCTCCGGACTTTGTGCCGAGCCACACAGGAGAGCAAATCCCAACCCCTTCCACCAAAATGTCTGCTCTGCCTTCTGAAAACAATTAACTGATCAGTTTAGAAAGTAGAAGGCCCGAGCTAAACAAAGGAGGTGTGTATCTCTCTCATCTTCGACCTCTTCTCGCCTGTTTGGCGCCAGCACAGCACAGCTGGAGCCAAAAGGCAAATCGAGGAGTCGCCGAATAAAACAGGTACCCTTTGATGCTTAGGCGAGCTTAGGCCTAGGATAATGTGGGTTAGGAGATGACCACCCACGTCGTGACTGCAGTTATGGTTTCTTCTTGAAATGGCATCTATAAGAAGGGTTCCCACACCGGCCAAGTAGGGTCCTGCAATTCTCCAGCTGCTCTTCCACACCGTGGGCGAACTCGCACCTCCATTCAGGGGGGGGGGGGGGGGGGGGGGGCGCGCTGACCCTAAACCTGACATGTTTACAGCTCTCGAGGGTGCTGCCAAGGCACTGTTCGCCGCGCCCTGAGGGAGCTGGCCCTGAACCCTAAACCCTAAACCCGAGCCTAAACCTCACAAAGCAAGCATCCCCAAAGTATGTGGACTGTTCGGGCTTTGTGGTCTAGTCTTGGCGGGAAGCTCCTGCCGGGCCGTCGTGTCTCGGTATGATGGTGAGTGCCTGTAGATGTGGATAAGGTATCACTAAGAGTACGCTACGTAGTTAAACGGAATCTCTTGATTGCTATCATGTCATTTGTACACGGATATTATGCGTACCATTCTCACTCTTGCCCGTCTGCTGCGTAGGCAGGCCCGGGAGCAGCTGGTCTTGTGTAGAGCTGCGTCTGCTTGCACTGCTTAGGGCTTTAGGGTTTAGAGTTTAGGGTTTAGAGTTTAGGGCTTCCGGACCCATCATGCTTCGGTGGGCGAAACCCTAAAATGTCGGACTCTCCTTGCTGCACCCACTGCCGACTACTACAACTCCTGAAAAAGCCTTGAAGCCCCAAAGGCAAGCCCTACGGCCTTAAACCCCTCCAACCCTGAACGCCTAATATTGAAAGCCTAACATGAGCCCCAAGCACTACATCTCATAAACCCTCAACCCCAAAACCATCAACCCTCTAGACTCTAAATCCCGAAACCCAAGTACAACCCCCGAAATCCAAAAACCCTAAAACCCTCAAACCCTACAACCCCTAAAACCCTATGAGCCCTCCCTGAAGCCCTAAAAACCCTAAAAGCCCCCAAAAAACTCTGAAACCCCGAAAGGCCCAAAAGCCTAAACCACCAAAACCAACGCCCCAAAAGCCCTGAACACCTAAACCCTCTAAAGCCCTTAAGAACCCCTAAAACCCCTGAAACCCTTAACGCCCCAAAAGCCCTGAACACCTAAACCCTCTAAAGCCCTTAAGAACCCTACAGCCGCCTTAAAGCCTAAAACAAACCCTAAAAAACCCTAAAACCACAACCCTAAAAAAAACCCTAAAACCCCCAAAGCCCTGACACCCCCCCTCCCCCCCCCTATGCATCCCAAGCATCGGCACTTGCCCTCGAGCCAGAAGGTGCAAAGCCTTGGGGTGGCCCAGGAAACCGGGAATTAGGGCTTAGGTTTAGGGTTTAGGGTTTAGGGTTTAGGATCTAAGGTTTAGGGAATAGGGTATAGGGTTTGGGGTTTAGGGTTTAGGGTTTAGAGTTTAGGGTTTAGGTGGTTAACGGGGTTGAGGGGCTTAGGGGTTTAAGCTGTAGGGTGTAGGGTTAGGGGCGTAGGGTAGGGTTTAGGGGTTTTGGGGCTTTAGCGTCTTTACTGGCTTAGGAGTTAGGGGTTTAGGGTTTAAGAGCTTTCGGGTTTAGGGGCTTTAGGGTGTGGGGGTTTAGGGTTTAGGGGTAGGGTTTAGAGGGTTTAGCATTTAGAGTCTTGGGTGCTGAGTCGAGACTCTAAAGGTTTACATGAAGGGCTTAGACTCTAAGGGTTTTCGGGCTTAGGGCTTAGGGGGAAAGGGTTGGAAGAAGGCTCTCAAGGTTGCACTCCGGGTTTAGGGTTTAAGGGGCTTGGGGGACTGCTTGGGTGCTACCAGGCTTGAACTCGGTCTAGGGTTTAGGGTTTAGGGTTCAGGGTTTAGGGTTTGGGGTCCAATTCCGAGAAGAGACCATCATAGGAGGCTGGCCTGTCTGTGGGTTTAGCGCTCAGGTGTTGATGGTGTCTTTTTGTGCGGCTCATGGTGTGAGGAGGCTCAGAAGGTAGTAGTGTTGGCGATTTCTGGCGCCCTTTTCCACCCTACACCTGAAACCTTAGACTTTTACGAGCCTTTCAAGGGCTCCAAACTTTAATTAAGGTTGTAATCCACGAGGCCCCCCCCCAACGCTAAACCGCCAGGTGTGGAGGTAGGATAAAGATGGTAACAAGAGGCGATAAAGTTGCAATCTTCTTTAGGACTCTCATACCCCTATACTTGTACCTACCAGTGAGCTTCCAAGGCAGTACTTGAACCCCCGAACCCAACGCACCTTCATTGGGCGTGCGGGTTGTTAGAGCTTTTTTTCCCTGAGCCCTACTTGGACTCATTAGGCCCTAAGTAGGTGACACGTAGACTTATAATTGGGATTATATGTACCCTAAACCCTAAACCCTAAACCCTAAACCCTAAAACCCTAAACCCTAAACCCTATCTCCAACAGATCCGCGCGGCTTGGTTTTGGCCACGCTCGGCAGCTGCAGTGCACTCTTCGCCTGCGCGCGCAGGCGCCGCGCGATCCTGAAAAGAGCAGGGCCCAGCCGGGCCTATCGGGGATTGGTTTAGGGTTTAGGGTTTAGGGTTTAGGGTTTAGGATTTAGGGTTTAGGGTTTAGGGTTTAGGGTTTAGGGTTTTTGAAGTTTGGGGGTTTTAGATTGGGTTTTGGGTACTATGGGCTCAGGGTTGTGGGCTGCTGGCATCTCGAGGTGGCGGACGAGGGTTTATAGGGTTCAGGGTTTAGGTTTAGGGTTTAGGGTTTAGGGTTTATAGGGTTTAGGGTGTAGGGTTTAGGGTTTAGGTCATTAGACTCTTCTTGCTTGTGGCTCCCGAGCCCCTCGTCCCAAGAAAAACAAGGTGACGGCGCCCGTAAGAGGCCGTGTGACTGAACACATTCTGTGTTTACATTTTTCGCGTCGGGGGCTGAAAACCCAAGTAAAACACACATCTTCGTGATCACCGCAGCATTTGCAGGGCTCGAAAACACTGAAGGGTAGGTCATTTTTTCGCCAAAATGCATTTTCGCTCGAAGCCTGATCGTTTTTTTGGTTGTTTTTTTCCAGGGGGTCCTTTTTTTTGAAGTTTTGGACGCGTTTTTTGCTCGAATTTGCGCTTTCGCCTAGGCGCGGGCACGTTTTGCTCATTCCCCATGTTGAACTTTCAAATGGCGATCTTCGGTTGGGGAAGTTTTTTCTGCGTTATGGCTCCGGCAGTTCAGGTTCGAAATAGTGCTCTCGCCACAGCGCAGGCATGATTTTCTGGAATCGTGCTTTGGTTGTAACCCAACAGACTTGCGCACTGGATCCTGAAAGTGGCCTCAAGTTGATTCTTCTTCAGGGTTCAAGGTTCAAAGTTTAGGGTTCAGGTTTCAGGATTTGGCTTTGCACTGCTTGGACTATTCTTTTGGGTTTAAGGATCGTTTGTTTGCTGTGTTTTTTTCTAGGGGGTCTTGTTTTGAAGTTTCGGACACATTTTTTGCTTGAAATTGCGCTCTCGCCTAGGCGCGGGCGCGTTTTGCTTATAAACCCCGAATTAAACAGCAAGAGTTTAGGCCTTTGGGGATTAGGGGTTCAGGCTTTGGAGTTGCAGGTGTGCAGTCCCAAGTCACGTGATTACCCCCCCCCCCCCCGCCACCCCCCCCCCCCCCCAACCCCTCCACCAAGAGCCCCAGAAATTGCGGTTACTCGCACGGCCTCTTAGAGGCGCCGTCTCCAAAAACAAGCAGGAGGGCCATTGGGTTGAATTAAGCATTGGGTTGAACGACTCGAGACACATTGAGAAACATGAGCCTCCTCGGAAATACAAACCCTAATCCCCGCCCAAAAAAAGCCCTAAAACCCTAAACCCTATATAATCAACCTTACTTCCCCCCAGCCCAAAGAACACGACACTAACGACACCAAACCCTTAACCCTGAACCCGCATATAACATGAACCCTAAAAAAGCTCAACCAGGCTCAACCATTGCGCCCGGGTCGCGTGGCAGCCACGGAGCGGCCGGGCCCAGGCCGAGGCGAGGCGGGGCGCTTCGCCGCGGCGGTCTTGGCCTTACGGTGGATTGGAAGCCGGGGGGGGGGGGTTTAGGGTTTAGGGTTTCGGGTTTGAGGCTTAGGGATTAAGGTTTAGGGTTTTGGGTTTCCTGTGATAGCGTGTAGATGCTGTGAGGGTTAGGTTTTGGAACAAGCTCGAAAGCTTCGTGAGGCGCGAAGAGCAGCTTTGGCCCGATTGCGGAAGGCCATCTAGCATTTTTCTCCCACCCCACGCCGTCCGAGGCGGCAAAGCCACCCAAACCTATTCCTTTTAGGGTTTAGGCCTAAACTCAAGCCAACTGCTTGCTTTCCATACAACTTCTTCATTCCGTCAGGTTGGTTGCCCAGGTGCAAAGGCGAGGGTGCAAGGAAGGTGCAGGGGGCTCTAAGAGGGGTCCAAGAAGTCAGGTTAGGGGGGCGCAGCGGGGTTGGCCCAGGCGTCCCAGGGGCCGAGGGGGCCTGAGTTTTTGGGTAAATCCTAAACCCTAAACCCTAAACCCTAAACCCTAAACCCTAAACCCTAAACCCGATTTCAGGTTTGGGTTATAGGGGCATCTGTGGGGCACTTGCAGCGGTCCACGCCAAAGCACCCGCACCAGCAACACACTTCTTCCCTGCCATGCCGTACTTCTCTCTCCTGCCTAGGTTGCCCAGTAACTTAAGGGTTTAGGTTTAGGGTTTAGGGTTTAGGGTTTAGGGTTTAGGGTTTAGGGTTTAGGGTTTAGGGTTTAGGGTTTAGGGTTTAGGGTTTAGGGTTTAGGGTTTAGGGTTTAGGGTTTAGGGTTTAAAAAAAGGGGTGCCCTTTTTTGCTTAAAGGGGTTTAGAAGGGAACCTAAACCTACCAAAAAGGGAATAACGGTACTACTGGGCATCCTAGCTGCTCTGGTCAAGCCCATCTGACCGCCTTAGAATGTTTTATGATGGTTCATAAGGGTTTATAATGGCTTATAATGGTTCAAAAAGGTTGTAGGGGTTTATAGGGGCTTATAAAGGTTTTTAAGGGTTTATAATGGTTTATGCTGGTTTATAATGATTTAGAATGGTTTTGAATGGTTCTAATAGATCCCTGATGAGAATGAGCGTGCCCTGTCAAGTAGGGTTCTCATGAAGGGCTTAGGGTTTAGGGTTTAGGGTTTAGGGTTTAGGGTTTAGGGTTCTTTGTGCTTCCTCCTGCAATGAATGAAGCAGCCTAGCAGCCACCGGCTTTCCCGCGGCGGGCTTCGCCAGCGGCTTGGCCGCGGGCTCCTTCGCGGATAGGAAACTCACCCCGAGCCCTCAACATTTTCCACCCCCAGGCCCTCAAAGGCCTTATAAGGCCTAGCTCAAGCCGTAGTTTCCTAAATCCCAGAAACCCTAAACCACTTCATCCCTGATCACCCCTGAACCCGAAAACCCTGGTTGAGCTCTGGAATATTGGCCCAAGAACCCCATCAACCTTTTGGCAGCTGGCAGAACCGGGGTTGCCTTTTAAGGCTTGAGCCCTAAACACAGAACGCCAGCAACTTAAACCCTAAACCCTAAACCCTAAACCCTAAAACTCTAAACCCCAAACCTAAGCTGCTTAAGGGAAACCCTCAAACCCTGAAGCCTCTTCAAAGAATTAGCAAGGCCAGGACCTCGGCCGAATTGCCTAGTAAAGGACTCCAAATAAGTTCCTAAAGCCTAAACCCTAAACCCTAAACCCTAAACCCTAAACCCTAAACTTTAAGTAGGGCTTGTGAGCCCAAACTCTAAAACCCTAAACCCTTAAACCTGCAGGGAAGGCCAGCGAATTTACGGCTGGGAGGGCCCTGGGGGCTGAAGGTTTATGGTTTAAGGTTCTTGGGGACTTTGGGGTTTGAGCGTTAGGCCTTTAGGGTTTAGGGTTTAGGGTTTAGGGTTCATAATGGTCCTTTTCTGTTCTAGGCCCTATAGGCTTTGGATTTGGGACTTCTGGGCTCGGGGTCATGGTTGCTCCTTTTAGGGTTTAGGGTTTGCCCTAACCAAACCCTAAATACCCCCCAAAACCCGAAAACCTGGAATTGGCTTCGGGGCCTTGGGACAAACCGCCGCGCGATTTTCGGGCGCTTCGGGGGGGTAGTGAACGCAGAATCGGTGGTTTCGCATGTGTAGGGTTTAGGGTAGAGCCCACAAACCCTTCACAGCCTGAAAATGGGCTTCTACCCTAAGCCCTAAACCCTAAACCCTAAACCCTAAACTGCCTCTTTTTTGTCCAGGCCGGCACGCGGCGGTGGTGAGCTCTGGTACCTGCTTCCTTTGTGCCCTGCAGGTCTTAAGGTTAGCTCTTCGGGGGAGCCCTAAACCCTAAACCCTAAACCCTAAACCCTAAATGCCCTAAACCCTTGAATCTGTTCCTGGCTGGCTAGATCCCCTGGAGAGCTTTAGGCATGAATTGAATGCCTCTCGTGCCCCATAGGACCTTAACATTAGACCACGGTTTAGGGTCTAGGTGTAGGGTTTAGGGTTTAGGGTTTAGGGTTTAGGGTTTAGGGTTTAGGGTTTAGGGTTTGGGGTTTAGGGTTTAGGGTTTAGGGTTTAGGGTAGAATCGGGTGAAGCTTAGATGGCTTGTTAGAACCAAGCAGGGCCTTGCAGGGATAAGGACTGGAAGGTTCATGGGTAGTTATAGCTTGAAGTAGGGTAGCAAATATAGCTTGAAGTGGTTAGAGCCTTACTTGGGGGGTACTTTATATAGGCCTTCCTGTTCTACCCGTGAACCTTCACGCACGCTACGTCCGTAAGTCTGCGTTGCAGGCGCGGAACGCGCAGTCGATCTGCTCGCCCTCGTGCGCTGCAATGTCTTTGCAAAGCCTTTGCAGGTGGAACTTGGCACGTTGGCTTTAGGATTGACCAGGCCAGAAACACCCACGAGGAGGATCGTAGAACCACCCTAAACCCTAAACCCTAAACCCTAAACCCGAAGCCCTAAGCCCTAAACCCTAACCGCTGATCCTAAAGTCATCATGCGGCTTTGAAGGTCCTAGGTATTCTTGAGGTCGCAATGCTGTCTCCCACCTAGCCATGCGCGTGCTGCTGTTCTGGCTTGTGTTCACGCTTCGAGGTACTTAGAGGGGCCAGGGCTTCGGGTTCGGGATGGGTGGTTGCGAGGTTGGCCCTGTAGACACTCTGAAAAATATTCCTAAATGTGAGCGTCTTAAACCCAATAACCAGGGAAAACACAAAACATCCCAAGGGTTTGCCTAGGCGAAGGGCTTAGGCTTCTCTACTGAGGGCCATGGGCATGAAACAACCGGAACATCTAGAAGCAGCGACCCGGCCCTAAACCCTAACCCCCCTGAACCCTATAAACCCTGAACCCTGAAACCCCGAAACTCTAAACCACTGAACCCTAAAACCGATAAACCCTGACCCCTAAACCCTAAACCCTAAACCCTAAACCCTAAACCCTAAACCCTAAACCCCAAGCCCGAGATGCTCTTGAGCTCGGCGCGGAAGGCTGCAGAAAACAGATCGAGGGAGCGACCTGCCAACAAGCCAACTCTCCAAATTTTCAACTGGGTTGGCCTTTAACCTCTCTGATATATATATATATATATATATATATATATATATATCAAAATATAAATAAATAAATATATATATATATATATAGAGGGTGCCTTATAAACCCAAGGAACATAGAAGATGTCCCAAATACCAACCTAGTCAGTTAAAGTCCTGGGACCTTCTTTATAGTAATGTAGTTCTGTTGTTATCTTATTAGGTGCTTATTAGTGCATGCTTGTCTTGGGGTCTATTTGTATCGGAAAAACTCCCTAGACCTGAACTCTACACCGCAAAGAAGCCCACAGCTTTGAGTCAACCCCCATAATATGATGGTCCCGTTTGGGTGTCTAGCTACATGGCTCCCTAAAAACTCGAGGATTGCAGGGGTTTCCGGCAGAACTGATGCCGGACATTTCGCATTTCGGATCGGCTTTGTTTGAGGTGCCAGACACCTAGACAACCAACTATCTCCTGAAGTTCTCAAGCATCAGGTCAGGGGGTGCGTCGTCATATTGGAACAAGAGCCATAGAAAAAGCAGCTTCCTTAAACGTATCCCCATGAAAGGCCTGCAAATGGAGCCCTACACATGCAGCCTTGACCCAAATTACATTCTCAACACACATTGCCAACTTGCAGAAGCTTGGCGTGCACCTAAGAGCTAGCATGGGCTTTCTGCATACACCATTGCGAAACCTTAGAACTAGTGATATCCTCTTCTGGCGTTTTTCTTGGGTTGATCATAAGGTAGCTGTAAGAACAGCAGCGGACATGCTGCATTGTGGTGCTGTAGCCTAGGTGTGTGTTGCTGTGTTTGGAGGACAAGGCGTTCTATGGTCTCTAGAAGAACTTCTACAAGAAGCAAGACGAAGTTTCGCAAGTTCAGTCGGTAGCACTGTGTGCCTTCCGTCCGTCATTGACATGTGAGCTGCGAGGAATTAGCTACTTTTGCCTTTAACTGGTAGATCATAGGGTCCGCATACATGGGTACCCGTTATTCCAGAACGGGCCCCTACAGGTACCCCAAAAGCAAAAAAGAATTAACAACCTACAAGAAAACTAGTTACCAACTCTGTTCCGGGGTGGTCCCCGCTGCCTCTCCTCCATCGGCATTGTCGACGGCTCGTACCTGTCTTTCGGCTTTCTACAGCCGACCCGCCCCCCCCCCCCACCCCGCCCTTAATCAATAGAACGAGGAATAGTTCGTCTGAGCTTCTGAAGCGCTGACGCCCTGAAACCCTCAAAGCGCGCTCAAGAACCTACAGCGGTTTTGGGTCTAGATGCTGAGTCTATCACCTCCGAAACAAGAAGCCCCTGTCAATAGACTGAGTTGCAGATGCATGCCAGGTCAAAGCCAGGAGAGAACAATCTGGAGGGTATTACCCTACTTTGGAGTAGACCCTGGAAAAAGTATATACTTTTTAGGTATAAGTAGCTATAATAGGAACCCAGAACCGAAAAAAAACATTAAAGTATAGTACTCCAAAGCCCAGTTTAGGACACCTCTGGCCGAGATGCTCAATGGACGGGAGGTAGCGTGGGACCTCCGTCACATTGGGGGTGCCGCCTGAGATTGCCACGCACTTGCTAAACCCTGCACTCCTATTCCGAACCCAAACCCTAAACCCTAAACCCTAAGCCCTAAGCCCTAAACCCTGCAGTTCTCTGGGGAAGCCGGCCATGCCAGGCCCGGATGTCGCGGATGATGGCCGCACCAGCCTGGGGAGCTGCACTGGCTGTCGAGAAACCCCCTGAAAGACTCGGATTGCTGCTGGGGTTTAGGGTTTAGGGTTTAGGGTTTAGGGTTTAGGGTTTAGGGTTTCGGGTGGGTTTAGGGTCTAGGTCTCACTAGGGTTTAGGGCGTGGTGCCTAGGAGTAAAAAGTGGAATAAGGGTACTACTGGGCATCCCCCCATGTCTAACTGACCCGAAAGAAGTTACAACCAACTACTGCGCCCTAGACCCTTAACCTTAAACCTCAACAGTCCCAAAACTATGCTGGGCGTCTCCTGAGCCCTCAACCTAAGCCCGTAAACCCTGAACCTAGGGCCCTGAATCTTGAGCCCTACAGCCTGAACCCTCAAACCCTAAACCCCCCGCAGGCCTCAAAGACCTTAACCCTGAAGCCTTAAAGCCCTGAAGCCCAAGCCCGAAACCCAGTAGCCCTAAACCCTAAACCCTAAACCAGAAGCCCTAAACCATAAGGTTGATGGGCCTCGAGCGGGGCGACCGTCGACAGCAGGAACCTGCCACTGTCTGGAAACGATGGGCTAAACCTAGACACTGTAAACCCTAAACCCTAAACCCTAAACCCTAAACCCTAAACCCTAAACCCTAAACCCTAAACCCTAAACCCTAAACCCTAAACCCTAAACCCTCGCCCTGAGGCCTAAGATGCCCTAAGCCCTACGTCAACCCTGAACCCAACGCAGCCCCAACTGCGAAACCGTGACAGCTGACCATCTGATGACAGGGTTCAGGTTTCAGGGTTTAGGGTTTAGGGTTCAGAGCTAAGGTGATAGACAAGTTCTCTCGAAAAAATCGTCACCCGGCATATTCCTGGACCCGAAAAGCCCTCAAGTGCTTTTGAATTCAAGCCACTCGAACCCCTAAACCCCTAAACCCTAAACACTAAACCCCAAACCCTGAACCCTAAACCCCAAACCCTATAAAGATCCATAACCCTTAAATCCTACTGCCTCGGGTTCTCCAGCTGGACGCAGGGCACACCCCAGGGGTCCGTGCGCATGGTGCCCGGGACGTGTCGCGTGGGGCCGTTAAACGGCGTCAGGTCGCAGACGGTGAAGTTTACCTTCGGGCTTGTCTAGGCTGCCCAGTAACCAAGGCTTAAAAACGGGTGCCCTTTTTTGCTTAAAGGGGTTTGTAAGGGAACCTAAACCCCCCAAAAAGGGAATAAGGGCACTACTGGGCATCCTAGTTGTGGTGGTTGTTTTAGTTTCGGCGCTTGGGTCTGTTGGGGTTTAGGCTCCAGTCTTGGGGATTTCTATACTTGGCCGAGTCTAGATGTCACTCGAGGGCTTGTGGGGATTAGAGTTCTGGTGCTTCCCGGAACCTGCGGGTCTGTGGCTTTCGGGACCTGCGGCTTCGGAAATCCTTCCGAGCAAGGCTCCGTACTAAGGACTGTTAGTATAAGGGGGAACGTCTCAAACCTAGATGTCTTGTTCTGTTAGGTCCGGCGCTCCCTTTGTCCTGCTTCTGAATCGACCCTCTAAACACTGCAAATTCCCGGGTTTCCCGCATTTCCAGCTCGTGGGCAGGTTAATCAAGGGTGGAGAATTGTTTCGCGATGTGTTGTGCGAATTTCCCTGGTTTTCCTGTGCCTCAAGCTTAAAAGAAGCGGCGGGGGTTGGGGGGGGCCCAGCCACGAGAGGACCACACGCTGGGACCAGGGGACCCTAAACCCTAAACCCTAAACCCTAAACCCTAAACCCTAAACCCTAAACCCTAAACCCACCGGTTCATGAACAAAGCCACACGGAGACTGCAGGACAAGGAGACCACGGAACTAGGGTGGCCAGACCGAACCAGAGCAAAAAAGGAGAGCCAAACCGGTTGAAAAATAATACGTGGGATGACGCCAGCAACCCTAAACCCGAAATCCAACATCCTCAAGAAATCTCAGAACTTTACGTTCGAGACTACATTCTGTGTAGCTGGGCGGGCGATGTCTGTCCAGTTGCCGATAGGAAGGGTGGCAGCATGTTCGTGTCCAGTCCGCCAGCATCGCTGTGCAGCCGCTGGTATTCCCAGCCTGCATACTCCATTGGCTGGGAGAAACCGTTCCAGCGACAAGTGCGGGGACAGGCGGTTGTCAGTGTGCCGATTCTGACACTAGCCGGCAAATTAAGCCGAAACACCCATAACTCTGCATCCTAAACCCTAAACCCTAAACCCCAAACCCTAAACTCTTTTGGGGGCAAAGGCTGAAATCCGGCTTGGGCCCAGCCCGACTACAAAACAATGGAGCCCAGGGCGCAGAAGTAAGCTCGCGATAGTAGTGTTTGCAGTATATATATATATATATACATATGTGTATGCATATAACGTATATCGTGTATATAATGTAAGTAATATGCAACATTGTATGTAATGTATAACGCCCATGTCACAATTGTAAAATGCCCGTTTCACAACTTTACGGTTTCAGGATGTCTGTGCGAGGCACATTGGGGCAGCACGCACTCGCCGCCACCGCCGCAGCAGCGATAGGCACAACGGCCCCAAACCTGACTTAACGCTTCAGGGTTTAGGGTATAGACGATTGAGGGTTCAGGGGTTCGTGTTAGGCTTGTGGTTTCTGGGTTTGCAATTTTGGGCTTGGCCGCTGCTACTACTACTACTACTACTCCTACTACTATTTTTTCTTGTTCTTCTTCTTCTTCTTCATCTTCATTCTTGTTATTCCAAGGAGGATGTTCTTTTATTCCAAGGAGGACGCGAAACCTGCGCCGTGCGAGCCCTTAAATCACCCGCCCTCAACCGTGAACCCTAAACCCTAAACCCTAGCTTAGGTCCATGGATGTAACGGCATCCCGCCCAGGCACAGCGTCCAGGACCTGCAGCACCGCGGGAGCCCCAGCGATCTGCTCAGCCCACTCTGGCTCATGTAGGCAGTTTCCCTGCAGCTTTCGCGGGCTTCCGAGGGTGTAGGGTACCCTAGACCTGGCTCAGGACTGCGGGCGTGCGAAACGCGTGGGAGTTCAGAGAATCACAGCACCTGTCCCAAGCCGAACTGTGAATCAAGAGAACTCCTAAACACGAAACCTCGTCGCCAACATGTCTAGCATCCCTGAAACAGGGCTTAGGGCTTACGGGTTATAAGGTTTTGGGTTTGCCGGCCTTCTTGTAGGCATTCCCGAAAGAAAATCGCTTGTGCCCGCGATTCTCGCTAAAGCCGAACTCCTGCGCTTCATCACTTACCTGCCTTTCTCTGACGCATAATTCCAAACCCTCAATCCCAGATTTGGCGCGGGAGCCCAAAACCCTAAGCCTTGAAACCTAAACCCTAAACCCTAAACCCTTAACCCAAAGCCCTGAAGACTGTGCTGAGAGTTGATTGAGTACCCCTCAACCCAAAGCCTTAAATGCTACAGCTGCGTCCCTCTGCACGTTGTCGAAGGACGTGGAGCCTCGTACTACTAGCTATCAGGCCTCTTGGCTCCAAAGCAGTACCTTCTTAAACTCACGAAATAATCGGTTCAGGTGGTTTAAGGTTCGGCAGCTCCCTGAAACCCGCTGCGATCTGAAACTGGGTCTCTGGTTTAGACTGCTAGGTATTGTTTATAGCCAGGGCGTTCTGATAAAGACGGAGGGCAAAATGACAGCTATGCCAAACTGGTACCACCTCAACCCTGAAAGTCCCAAGACCCATACACCCCTCTCTCCCCTACAAGTCCCCCCCAACAACAAAACGAACCACTAAGCACCTAAGGCCTAAACCCTAACCCCTTAATCTATGCATTATATGTAGATATATATATATATATGTATATAGGCTATATAACACAATATATATATATATATATATATGTATGTATGTATGTATATGTATATGTATACACACGCTCAAAAAGGGTATCGTTTGAAAATCAGGCTTGTGCAGGGCTCCTCGACCAGCTGGTGCAATCGATGGCAGCCCTCCTTCCATCTGTTGATTGACTCCCTTGCAAGCACCTCAGGCAAGCAGATTTAGGGGTTAGGATTTAGGGGTAGTAGGGTTTCGGGTTGAGGGTTTTCGGGTAGTAGGGTTTAGAGTTCAGGGTCTTGCCTGTGATGTTTTTTCATCTTCAAGGGTTTTAGGGTTTAGGAGTTTGTTTGCGGATTTTAGGGCTTTAGTTGTTTTTGCTTATGTCACGTTGCTTTTAGAGGGCTTTGGTTGTTTTGGCTTTTCGGATTTTTTAGGGGTTGAGGGCGTTTTACGCACGCTTGGGAAAGTAGGTTGAGGGTGGGGATGCTTAGGAGGTAGGATTTGAAGCAAGAACCCTAAACCCTATACCCGAAACCCTGAACCCTACACCCACGAACACTGTGAAGCCTCGGGGCACGGGCTTTCAGGCGTAAAGGATCATCGGGCTTATAAGGGAGTTGGGGTAGGGTTTAGGGTGTTGGGCTTAGGGTTAGCAGTTTAGGGGGCGCATTATTGTACTTGCACCCTCTTGCTGATTGCAAACTCCTCCCCTACAGTCCCAAAAGCAAAATCGCCCCTACGAAGTTGAAATCAATGTAACTGCAAGCTCTCGTTACTTTCTTGGAGAGAAGGATTCCAGCGCCCTTAACCCTCCAACCAAATCCTCAACCCAATAGCCACAGCGCGGACGGAAGGATGCAAATGCCGTGGTCGAGGATGGCTTTGCGGGCATGCTCGGCAAACGCCTGGTACAGTCGTCCTAAACCCTATACCCTAAACCCGAAAACCTTAAGGCTTAGAAGGAGATAAGCAGACTCATCAGCAGCGGCATAAGCTACCAGCACACCACCTGGAGCAGCGTGCATCTTTGGAAGTGCAGCACCAAGGAGCTCTGTAAGCAACAAATGCCTCGAATGCCTCTAAGCCCGCAACACCACACCCACTCCCAGAAATGCTTGAGGGGTACATCTAACCCTGCTTTCTGCCCATGTACTTTCACATAAACCCAAAACCAAATGTCCCAAAACCCAAAGCACTCCCGGCTGCTCCGGGTGTCGAGGGTTGCGGGTTAGGGTGTATGGAGTTTGGGGTGTAAGGTCTAACTGATGCCAGCGTACTTGGGCTTAGGGTTCAGTTGGGTCCCACACCTGACCCCAAGCCAACACAAAGCAGGCCTCCGTCGCCGGGTCAAGCACGATCTCTCCGGCCAGTTTAGACAGAAGCGTGCCTAAGCGGTTGAGAGCTTGCACTTTGGCTTTCACACTCTACTTTAAAGGCTGATGGCCAGCCATAGAGAATACGGGTTGTAGTGTCTTTCTTGCTTGACCCTAAGCCCTAAACCCTTACAGGGTTTCTTGGAAACCCTAAACCCTAAACCCTAAACCCTAAACCCTTTAGGCTTTGGGCTTGAATCAGGAGGCTTCTCCTTGGGGTTCTGGGGTTTGGGGTTTCGGGCTTGGAGTTTAAGGGTAGCTTTGTTGCACCCCGAAGGAATCTCTAAACCCAGTCACTAAGTGGAAAATCTTTGCTATAAATACGGTGTCTCCTGCTGAAAGAAGGTCTTCTCCTTTGTGCGGGGGTCCCGGACTCTTTGGGAATTAAACCTAAACCCAAACCGCCTGAGCCCGGAACCGAAAACCTCAAACCCCAACCTCAAACCCCAAGCACCTGAACCCAAGGCCTAAACTCCTAAACGCCGAAACCCTAAAATACCCAAACTATGAGAAACGCAAACGGTGAACCCGAACTACTGAACCCTAAAGCCTTCAACCCTAAACACAATCCCCAAACTCCCTAAACACCTACACCCTGAACCCTTACCCCTAACCCTGAACCCTGAGTACTAAACCCTAAACCCCAGACCTGACCACGAAACCCTACACACTGAACCCGAAAACCCTGAAACTCGAACTTAACTGCCTAAACCCTAAAATACTCAACCCCAACTGACTCCAAAAAATGCGAACAACGAAAAACGAGTTTTATGACACAACACACAAGGAATAAGTTCTATTTTCTTGAGTAAAGTGCATCATACGTGCAAAACAAATGCAAGATACATGCACCCTGAATCTTAACTAATTCTGTAGTAAGCCCGATAAGAGCCTAAACCCTAAGCCCTAAGCCCTAAACCCCAAGCCCTAAACCCTATAAACCGTAAGCCCTAAACTCCCGAAACTCCTGAAAACTCCCTAAACCCTAAACCCTAAACCCTAAACCCCTTAAGCCCTCTTCCGTTCCTCAGCCCAAGGAGCTCCCGAGCGAGGAACCAACTTCGAGGTGCGCGCGCACAAACCTTCCAAAGGGGGCTTAGGGTTTAGGGTTTAGGGTTTAGGGTTTAGGGTTTAGGGTTTAGGGCCGGTGGTGTTGGGGCGTAGGAGTTTTAGGGGTTAAGGAGTTTAGGGTGGTCCAGGGGTTTTTTGAGTTTAGGGGTTGCTTTTCGGGGTTTAGGAGTTTAAGGGGTTTAGGAGTGTAGGTGGTTTCTGCGTGATACCGGGACCTGGCTCGGGTTTTGGGGTGTTGCGGTTTTGGGAGTATTTAGGAGTTTGGGGGCGTTCAGAGTTTAGGAGTTTAGGGGAGATCAGGGTTTAGGGATGTTAGGGGCCCCATCCGGAGCTGCAAGAGCCTCCTGATACCCACAGCTGATGGGTGCTTTAGGGCCTAAAGTTTCGGGGTTAAACTAACGCTCCTGGATCCTAGAAGAATCTAAGCCCGAAAAAAGCCCCCCCAGGCCCCCCCCCTCGCGCCACCTGGCCTCCCCACCACCTTCCCCTCTCAAAAAAAGGGTCAAGACGCTTGTAGTTGGGCCACGGCTGCAGCGTCCACGGCTGCAGCGTGTTGTCCATCTGTTGCGGTAGGCAGGCCTCACGCAAGCTTCCTTTAAGCTTAGGGTTTAAGGGTTCAGGGTCGGATATGTGGGATGACTCTGAACCGTGGGCTCGCTGTGCTTGCAATTGTAAGAAAAATACCCAAACAATGTGGTGCTACGCGCAAAACATGTCAGCTTTTTATATTTTTATATTTTATGGGCCTGTTTCGGCGCCAAGGGTTTCAACCCTAAACCCAAAATTCCCTAAGTTCTCTGAATACCCCAAATACCCTAAATACCCTAAATTCCCTAAATGCCCTAAATACCCAAAATACCCTGAACCCTAAGCCCTAAATAAACCCTTTGCCCTGTTGAGGGTTTAGGGATCTAGTTGCAGGCTTTAATCCCCTCCCCTGAATATTAAGTACCCCCATAATAGTTACATTATAATATGCGGGGGGTTTATATTAGGTAGGGGGGGGGGTTTAATATCAGGGGGAGGGGATTAGCAATTTAGGGCCGCTCCTGAGTGTTACAGGCCCTCGCGCTGCAAGCGAACGCCTGGACTCGCACCTAAAAACGGTTTAGGGTTTAGGGTCTAGGGTTTAGGGTTTGGGGTCTAGGGTTTAGGGTTTAGGGCCTTGCATCCCTAGACCCGTATCATGGGGTCAGCCACACCTTCCCCCAAAAAGGAGCGCAAGAGTTTTTGATCTTCAGGGATACCCCTGGAAATGTACCCTCCCTAAACCCTATACCTTATACCCTGGCCTAAACCCTAAACCCTAAACCCTAAACCCTAAACCCTAAACCCTGAACCCTAAACACCGATGACAAAACCGAGCTGCGAAAACCCTGAGGGTTCGAGGCTGCGCAGGCGGTTCTCGGGGCTTAGGGTCCCCCAATTCATATACCCTAAGGTTTTAGGGTGTAGGGTTTAGCGTTTGTGAAGTTTGGCGTTTGGGGTTTGGGGTTTGGGTTTTAGGGTTTAGGGTTTGAGGTTCAGGGTTGGGGGCTTTTTGGCTAACCCCAACCCCCCGAAACCCCAAGCCCAAAATTTACTGCCCCAAAAAAGCACATAAGCAAAAATTAGGATAGGGATATCCCATATAAACCCCCTTATAATGAAGCGCAATAAGGTAGGGATATCCCTATAAAATGCTTATGCTTATGTCCTTTTGGGGTCCCTAACAAAAGCCGGCCTCGCAGTACCATGGCGGGTCAACGATGCCAACATCAACGATGCCCTGCCCATCCTTCCTTGGCGTGTTTAGGATTTAGGGTTTAGGGTTTAGGGTTTAGGATAGGGGTTTTACCTGTCATTTAGGATAGGGGTTAAAGTCTTTGTAAATCGTTATCTGGCCTTCCCTGTATGCCCTGAATCCCTAAGACCATAAAACTCTCCACCCCAAACCCTGCAAAACCCTAAAAGTTTACTTATTTGTGTTATACTTTTTTTGTTTCTTCGGGGGGTGGGGGATGGGCTGTGAGGTCAGGTTTAGGGTTTAGGGTTTAGGGTTTAGGGTTTAGGGTTTAGGGTTTAGGGTTTAGGGTTTAGGGTTTAGGGTTTAGGGTTTAGGGTTTAGGGTTTAGGGTTTAGGGTTTAGGGTTTAGGGTTTAAGGGTTTATAGGCTCCCTACCCCCCCAAAAAAATCGAAACAGCTGAGTTTAGCTGGGCCGAGGAGCTCCGCGAATTGCAGGCCATGGAAAGGCTCCGGGAACCTCGGGAGTGTCGGGAAGCTGAGAGTTTTGCGAAGGTGGTTGCTTAGGGCATACAGGGCTTAGGGTTTAGGGGTTCAGGGGTTTTTGTTGCATGTTTCACGGTTTTTCTTGGGCTTGGAGATTCTGAATTTGGCCGTGAACTGCGCACACACACACATACACGACAAGACAAACTATGGTACTGCTTGTTCTTACTGGGTCTTTTCCTTGACCGCCCCTAGCATATTTCCGATTCCTGCTACTCAAGACTATAAGAACAAAACAAAAAAAGCAGCTACGTTGTCAGGCCCGAGCACCAGAGGGTCTGCTTGCTCCCTGCCTTGTCGCTCCTGAGGCGTTTCCGGCTTGATGCGGGAGTCGCACGCAGATTGCTGAGCAACTTGTGGTTTAGGGTTGAAGGTATTTAGGGCTTTTTGGAATTAAAAAAAGTTTAGGGATTTAGGGCTTAGAGTTTTACCTTGAAAACAAGGGGACTATAGGATGTTGTGATAAACAGGATAGCGTTCTAATGCGCGTGTGGGCTTCATGTCGATGGGAGTTCTGCAGGTTTAGGGCTTCGGGCCCCCCCCCTCCTCCATGGCAAAACTGGCTTAGGGCGCTTGGGACCCTAAACTACCCTACATAAAGCCTAAACACCCCAAGTCCGTGTACCCTAAACCCAAGGACAGGGTAGGGGGTTAATCCTACTTGCGTCTTATGTCGCAGGGGGTTTAGGGCTTAGGGCATGTAGGGCACTCAACATGAAGAGAAGGTTCACTCGAAAAGTGAAACTTAAGCCGTAAGCTTAGGTCCCGAATCCTCATGTCCACCCACTCGAAGCTTGGTAGCCCAGAAACCCTATCACAATCAGGGTACGCTTTTTGAGTTGGGTACTGTATAAGGGAACCTTGAGCGGGAAAAAAGGGGAACGGGTACCACTGGGCTATCAAGTAAAGCCCGTATTCAGGCATTCCTTTGGGGAGGTTCCGGTAGCCCTAAACCCTAACCCCTTTAAACCCAAAACCCTAAACCCTAAACCCTAAACCCTTTACCCTTTAAACCCAAAACCCTACAGTGTCCTGGTGGCATGTGGCCCCTCCCCGGACTTGTACAGAAGCCTCAGGGGCCCGTTTAAGGCTTGAGGATTGAGGGTTCAGGGTTGAAGGATTCAGGTTTGAGGGTGTCGGGGCTTGGGTTTAGGGGTTGGGGGTCTAGGGGGTTAGGGACCTGGGCTAAGGTCTTCAGCCATTAGTCCATCCCCGAGCCCATGGGTTCCTTTGCGAACACTCAACGCTAAACCTGACACCCCGACAAGACCCAGCACTGCATCCAATCTATTCTCGTGACTGCTAATTACATTTCTTCAAGCGCTAGCCATAAGAGCGGTGTCCCGCGAGGAGGAGCGAACTAAGAAACACAACCTAATCCGCACATCGATTCAGTCGCGGGAACGGCCCTCCGGTTTCGTAAGGCTTAGACTAGGTCAAGCAAGCCGGCCTCCATGAAGTGGTGTATGAAGGGTACGAATCAGGTCTTACTCGCTCCCAAGTACCTACTCTGTATACATAAAAAAAACAATATGTATATATATATATATATGTATTCATTATATTTACACATTTATGCGTTTACTTGTACCTCCATTTAGCGTGTGTTGATTTAGCTCTTGTTTGAAGGGCTGCAACACAATTATTATTCAGGGGCTCATGTCACCTGCTTGTTGGTAGGGTTATCCCAGGCCCTCTCCGCAGCTGTTTGGCGCAGCGAGCGTTTGACCACTTTGGAGCCCTAAACACACAGGGCTTTCGGGGTTTGAGGGTTCTAGGCTTAGAGGGTTTAGGCTTAGGGTTTGAGGGTTTTGGGCTTTAGACGAGAGGCTGCCAGTCAACAACATTCCCGCGATCTTTGTGCAAGAAGATGTGGATGCCAACCTGACGAAACACCCAGCACTCCCGTCCCTCCCACCTCCCCGCTCCCGCGCAGAAAGGCATACAAACACTGAAGCCCTCCTGAACCCTACGCAGGCACCAGAATGGCAAACTCAAAAGGCATCATTTAGATCTGACCCGGAAAACAGGAAAGGGGTAGATCTGGGGCTGTGGGGCTGAGGGTTTTGCATAGGCGTCCCCCCAAAGGCCTCCCCACCCCGCCCTCCCCCCCCCCCCCCCCCCCCCCCCCCCCCCCCAAGTTTCCTACTGCGCCAACCCTTCTGCCGGGATGTTTGCGGGACCCCATGACAGTTAGGTGCTGCGGGTTGAGGCGGGTTTTGTACGGGGAGAAGGTGAACCTTCTAGCTTTATGGCTTGGAGCTTATAGGGTTTCTGTCCTTAAAGGTGAAAGCTTCCCTACTCGACACCTGAAGGGGGTAGGCGTTGATCCCTGAACTCGGTGGTTCCCTGGTTTGCAGCTCATAGTCGAAAGTAGAGGGCTTGGGGTTCAAGGCTCCGGTATAAACACCCCAAAGCCCCCCCAAAAAAACCGAAATCCAGGAATGACCATCTCCGGGCACGCAGCTAGCTCGGAAGACTCGATGCTCATAGTGATCTGCCTGCTTCACGTATCGGTGCTGAAGGTGGGGGAGGGCATCTCAGTCCCTCTAGCCCAGCAGCCCGAGCAACAACCACAGCTTGAAACCCTGAGCACTGGAAGCCCTGAACCCTAAACCCTAAAGTCCAAAAACCCTAAAACCCTAAAACCCTAAAACCTTGAAACCCTAAATCCTAAACCCGAAACCCGAAAACCCCAATTAAACCCTAAAACTCAACCCGAAATTCCCAAAAGCCCGTACATGCCCTAAATAGCCTGTAGCTGTTGCGATGGGCTTTGGGGCCTGAGCTGCTGGATCAGGGGCCCCACGCCCTCAACATAAACCCTAAACCCTAAACCCTAAACCCTAAATCCTAAGACTGCAGTTTCAGGTTTGTTCTGGCTTTAGGGGTTAAGGTATTTGGGGGGGGGGGGGGGGTTGTTAGAATTTGGATGGCTTGGGGGTGGGATTCAGATTTTAGGGGTTTGGTGGGCGGGAGCGGGGGGGAAGGGTTGGGGTTCAGAGTTTAGGGTTTTAGGATTTCTGGTTTTGGGGTTTTAGGTGTTAAGGGGTTCTGGTTTTAGGGACTAGGGATGCTTTCTTTGGGGCTTTCGAGGCTTAGCAGTTCAGGGTTCAAGGGTTCTGGTTGCAGGGCTAGGGGTCTCGGGAAGGGTTTAGAGGGGCAAAAGAACCCTGAACCCTGAACCCTAAACCCCTGCACCCCAAAGCCCCCAAACCCCAAAACCCTTAACCTCGAGCCTGCAGGCCCCGCCGCTGGGCACAATCCAAAGGGTCCTTGGGAATAACGCCGT